TGTTTTGTATTTATCAGATTTTTCAAACAAAACGGCGAAAAAAGTCCCATAAAATAAATATGAGTTTTTACTCCGCCCACTTTCATATTTATATTTCATATATATTTAAAAAAAAGAATTATATTTGACTGATATATCACCATATTTCATGGGTAAAATTAAATAAAATATTCTATTGATCACATATATTAAATATAAGAACAGTACTGATCAGGGACCATCAACCGGACACTTTTTGAACATTTTTCCGTACAGATTTCATAATTTTTAACCTAGAGACCTAAGAATTTGAAACAGTTCAGCTAGGTTCTTCTCCTAACTAACAAACTAGTTTGTCTATTTCTGATTGAAGTGACACTTATATCTGAGGTTCGAAAAGGGGGGTATAAAAATTACCTAAAATGTCTTCACTACAGTACCATGTGTCTGGACATACATATGTATATGTACATGATGTGAATTAATGCAAAGCTTTGGTGTTTTAATTTTTCATTTTTAACATGTTATACAATATTTCAGCAACAAATGCTGAAGTTTTGGATATTCCATTGTTTACCTGCAAATGACCCCAAATTTCAACGTCAACATTGTTGAAATAAACATTAAAATATTACCATTTACAGAGGTTGAAATAAATGTATTTACTTAATTTTAGAAGAAACATGCATTTATTGTTGATGAAAAGTAACTGACAACCACTGAACAAAGAAAATACTAAATTTAGCTTTTTTGGAGCTGTCCGGGTTTGGTGGTTATCCGGTTTGGTGGTCCCCAACCAGTAAACTGTTAAAATGAGTATTTTCCAATGACGCGCCTATAGTGTAATGCTAAAACTAGCGCGCTTTAACACTATATTAATATATAGCGCAAATGATGTCACCTCTAAGTTTTATTACACTAGTGTAATGTCGTTTTTATTAAATGGCTTTATCCTGCGCCAAGGTATATGTGATTAACTAAAATGTCAAACTGTCATAAAAAGTTACGGAACTGTTGGAGCCCTCGCCCTACCGGGCTCGGGCACCAACCGTTCCTCGGGACTCTGCAGACGTTATAACACGGAAAAACGTGCGTTAACCCTATAAAGTCTCAAAGGTATACATAAATGCAATATAAATATTTTAAACAAAGCCTTTCTAAAAAAGTAGAGCAAAATATTTCAATTTATATAGTGAATTATATAAATGAAATGATGTGTTTGATGAGTGATCCAGGGCCAACTTAGTGGCCCTATTGTTTATTATGAAGAAAAACAAAAAATCAATCAGTGTTGTGAAAGCATATTACTAGAGGAGCAAGTTAAAGTTGAGCTTAACTTGCCAAAAGAGCTGGACTTGCCTTTTATCAAGTTCATTTAAAAAATAATTTCCAACACTGAAAAGCAATTGTTTCTGGTGAAATTATCAAGTTGTAAGTGTATATTATAACGTGTTTATATGTTCAAAGAAATAAAATATCTTAAAATCTAAATAGAATTTACATGCTTTTGATGTTCTTTTGGGGCTTTACGTCGCATCACCTCAGTATAAGTCAAATGACGAGTATCCAGCTTTAATGGCGACGGAAGACCTTAGGTGCCCATCTGTGCGTAATTCTAGGCACGACGGGCACCTGAGTAGAATCATCGATGTTTCGTATGTTAGCAGTATAGTTTCTTTACATGGAAGAATCCGAAAATTTTTGATGTCTGTTAAATGTCAACACATTTTGTATGCACTTATATCATAATGTGTTAAAGTTGGTTAACGTCGCATTTGCTGTTGAATATCACAACAGCTCATTAACATAAATAGATTTTTGACGCCAATAATTCATCTGACTTTAAGTGTCGCAATGGTTTCTTTGATTGATTCAATAATACAATCACATTTACCGACAAATTAATTTTTTGGGCATCACGCATGACTATGTTCAACATATGTGACACGTAGTCCAGTGAAAGTTTTTGTCAGGTAATGTGATTAAATGATTTATACTGGCAAATAATTAATTCTCTGCTTTAGTTAAATCATTTAATGATTCCATCCTGTCTGCTTATTTATTAGTCATGACATTTATAGTAAATACCTTTTCTGCTCGACATAATAAACAAAAATAAAGGACATTGTTATTCATATGCTATCTAATAGCCATTAAGTTATCTTTATGATTTATATCCGATTGACATAATTAATGCCAAAGAGCTATATAGGCGTGGAAAATACGTGACTGTCTTGTTTGCGACAAATTGTCGTGTTTTCATGCTGCTCTCACAACATGTTCTATCGATTCAAACCTGTGCAAGAAAGTTATGATAGAATAAAGACATTATAGAATATGGACGACATACACAATTGCATATGCATAGTTAAAAATATATGATAATTTAGTTCGATAGAAGCATTCTAAATAATCTCATTTTCTTGATCATCACGTGTACACATTCATCGCACCAAATCATTGAGAAGAAGCGGAAGTATTAAATTATTTACAGCTAGCTGATACTGTGGTGGCCGGAACGCCCGTTTTGAAGGCACGAAAATTTTTTTACTGTCTGTTTATAATTGACGTGGGCAACTTTTGAATCTGCGAGATTGTATGTCGAAATTGTATAAAATGACGCAGATTATATGAACCAGAGATTTTCTGTCACAAATCTGTCGTAAAAAAGTCGATTTAAACAAAAAGAAAACCGCAACATTTTCTGTCAACAAAGTAAACTAAGCAACACAAACATGTGCATAATGGTAGCCGGTTGCGGCCATAATAAACCGCGATATTTTGTTTTGAATCGGCTTTTAATTTTATGCGGGAAATCCCTCTGCGGGAAATCCCTCTGCGCAAAATATCGCGGCTGAAAATTGATTTTTCTTGCCGTGATGTTTTATGAGACTGTTGATAAGGAACAAAACGTCGCGGTCTATAATTTTCCCCTCGACCTTTTGAAGGATTTTAGGACATTTTAGGATAAAACGATAGAATCTTTCGCGAATTTGAAATGATCGCAATCGACCACCATACTGTACAACTAAATGGGTATGGGTTAATGTGAGTTCAGTCGCCTTTCTTACTATTTAATTTTTATCAGTAGTAGATATAAGCCGAAAATTGTCCAATATGTAAAATATTGAATTGCATGAGGCGCGTAGCGCCGAAGGGAATTCAATATTTTACTTCTTGGTCAGTTTGAGGCTGATATCTTACTTAAATTACTACTTTTACTATCAAATATCATGCTATCTATCGAAAAATTGGAAATAATGTATTTTTGAGCTAGAAATGAACAATATCAATGTTGAAGCACTTATCTTTTTCTTACTTGCGAAACCCTATAGATAACCTCTTGAATAAAAAAATGTCCGTAGCATGAAATTTTCGTTTTTATTTGTTTGGGTCGTCATACCAAACAAAAAATGGTAGCGAAATTTCAGACTCTAATGCTGTTAATTGCAATTGCCGAAAGTAGTCCGCTTTTTTGAAGCGGTTACTTCCCTTTATATGTAACACTAAGGCCGAAAAATTCAGGGGAGATCATTGCGTAAATATGGTCACATGACAGGCGCATTATTTAAGCAAAATAATTCCCATATGGTCGAAGATTTCTTATATTGTTTTATTCTTTATAGATATACATGCTTATAGTAAGCGCCATGATTATTTACACAAGTTAGTGTCGTTACAAACCCTAATTTAGAATAATATGGTTTTCTTCAGACCGTTAACGTATAAAGTCACCGTGGCCGAGAGGTTTGCGCGCTCGCTTAGGAAGCGAGAGGTCTGGAGTTCAAATCCAAGTTAAGGCAACTCATTTTTTTTTCAAATTGTTTAAGTCAAATAAACATTGGATTGAATATCAGTGTTGCAATTAGTCTTATACCCAATCTACTACAATTAAAACGATGGAAAGCATTGGTGGCACTATACAAAAACTAATTGTTTTATAATCTCACAACATTCACCTTTCTGACATTCTGAGACCCAAACAAATTCAGCGCCTTCTGTGCTTTGATTTTAAATATGACCAATTATGTACATGAACACACTGATATACACAATATATACCAGTTATACAAATGTTAGACTTACATACATACAGTATACAGCAATTTACAGCAATTTACATTTGGGATTTTTACAAGAAATAATAAAAATGAAATGTTTTCAAATATGTGTTGAATCTTGGATATTTTAAATGATTGACTGAAACAATCTATGACTTTTAAGAAGGATTTATTTATATATGTTGAAATGATATTGTTATTTTACTACAACTATCACGGATGTAATATTTTGGATATCAACGCAACAAAATGATATTTTCTTATTTTTGAATTCGTATTTGTCATACAACAGGAGTCTGGAATCGTTTGTTATAAAAGCTGTCAAACATAACCGCTTTTGTTTAAAATAGATGAATTTTTTTTTCTCTATTGTATTTATTTGAAAAGCTGACCTAACTGAAACATAACGAACATACAATAAAGCAAATCAAGTATGATTATCAACTTAAAAAAAACAAAAACAAATGAAATGAACAACAAAAATGGATATATAGTCTTCAATGCCATACTTTGATAGTTGCATTGCAATAAAACCTTTTCTAGGTTAAAGCCTGTCTAAATATTTAAATACTCTTAGAAAAAGGGCCAGACCCTCTACGCATGCCACATCCTGCGAAGTTAAGTCCCAAAGAAGCCAGTCGGAAGTATCAATTCAACCCGCTTAGTAGATTTCAATAAAAATAATAAAACTAATTATAGGCAGGTACATGTAATAAAAAAACTTCAAAACAAATATTGTCTATATTTACCCTAAGTAAGAGTTGGTCTATCATGGTTACTTGTATTAATTATTCTTTTTGTCATTATCATAACAAATAACAACAGTAAACATTGAATGCCAAATCTTTGTCGTTACAAAAAAATGTATATTTTATTAAAAGAATTGAATTAATCATAGATGTTTTGATTTATCATGATTGTTGTATGTTATTCTGAAAGTTTCTATTTCATCACTTTTAGTTAAACATGGGAGTTGACATTCAAACATATCGAGCAAGGATTGGTAGTTACAGGCAATACCGATGTAGTGGTGCAATTGACAGTTGCAGAAGTTTCCGGGGTATTGATGTGGCGATTAAAGTCAGCAATAACCTAAAAACTGTTGGTTGTGTGCTTTTTATTGGCGTTCTTTTAATGATTGCTGGTGTTGAACCAAACCCAGGTCCGAGGGAAAAAGGTAAATATTTGCAAAAGCATACGAAAACTACAAAATATACTCATTTAAGCATGGCTGTTTTACTATGCACTTGCTTATTATTGTAATACTTTAAAATATGTTTGGGAAAACAAAAAACTTTTAACTCGAAAAATATATTACAAATATGTATTTATTCTATATAAAAATCAGCTGAAATTACAAATTTAAAATAAATGAGTTTCAAAAGGCGTTTAAACAAACATTTCATACCTTCACATGGAAGAAGTTTCTAGACAGTGTGTATCATGCTTTCTTTGCATTTGTTATTTTCAAATTCCTGTACCTTGTAAACATGGATAATATATGTCATGTCTTATATTAAAGTTTGCGAAAGAATTACACAATGTTATAATCATTTGCTGAATGGGTTATTTCCGTCAGTTCAATTTATTTCAATAACTATGGTGTATGACCGTTTTACATTTACAGATACTGCCGGTTACCAATGCGATGATGTTGCGGACGTTGTAAAGGGCACAAAAAGGAGTGTAGATGGTAGATTGTCAAATTTCATACTTTACATGCTTTGTTCTGTTTTTTTTTTTTTGTATTTTATAATTGAAGACGTTACACATAATTTTAGGTTAGAACCTGATATATGAGCTGATTGAAGATGGTTTAATTTTCTCTTTGTTACTAACTAAAAGGTGTTTTATCAAAATTGTATATATTTTCTAGATCTCTTGTTTCACCTACACCATCCTCTAAACCAATGGTTACAAAGTATTTATTTTGACTTCCGTATGATTGCTCATCAGAACAAATCCGAAATTAAGTTAGTTATAGTACACGATAGACTATACATTCATCAGACTACATTACTTTATATGTCATAAAGTTTTACAAGAAAGACGCGCAAGCCAGTTAGCTTTCAACATTTGATTTTGAGGGTAGTGTAAATCAGCTGAATATTATGTTGAAGGATATAGAAAATGAGATAATATATTTGATATTTTACATGATTACATTTCTCCTTCATGTCCATACTTAAATCATATTTTACCATCAGATATGTTCTGGATATTCCAAAATTAACTATGGGGTCTATATAGAACGTTGGTTTGGTAAATTTTCATTCCTATGACCAATCTTGCTACACAGACTTTTGTCCATTTATTTATTCTGATGATATATCAAAGTTCGTGTTGATGAATCGTTGCCTTAACAGTTATAGCGTTTTATTAACAGTTAACAGTGTGTTACTTTTTCTAACTTACTGTTTGTATAAACTTTTGTTCTGCCATTGGAATTGCTTCCGACCGCTCTGATAAAAACAAGTTTCTTGAAAAATAATCCAGGAAGAACTTTCGTGATCGCTACCGATACTCTCTCTATCTCCGAATGAAAAAAAGAAAACAATTTGCATTTATTGTGATATACTGTGCATATATTATCTTCGTTCCTTTGCTTTCATTGACCGTTACACTTATGATTTATCGATATAAGTCGATATGTCCTAAACATATGGTTTGTTATGTGCCATTAACAACTCGTTGTATCTTGCTCTCTTTAAAGCAAGGCATCGGCGTAAAGAAAGGTGAAATTCACAATGCAGACTACATCTTTTTCCTATTTTGACTATGATTATATTCAATTTAGTCCAATCAGACCAGTGAAGTTGGCATGTTTTATGGGATATCCCTCTCGGCTATAAAATATTCCTGAAAATAAAATCAACGCCGTGTTGCATGTGCAAAATTTGTCAAAGGTTTGTTACAAGGTGTAGGTTTTGTCCGGCTGATATGTTGGTTCGTCATTTTCTTTGTAATGAAGTTTTTTTAATACTTGCTCGGAGTGGTGCCCCGCTCGATAGTTAATGGCCTGCTAGGAGGAATACTTCCAAACTTGTGAACATGCATGAGATATGCAGCGGCAGGTTTGAGGTTGCATTAAGACGTGCCAATGACTAGAAAAAAGTATCATACACGAGCGTGTACGTACATGAGGTTTTCGTTACACGAATTTATTTTGATTAGAGCTATGGCCAGGCATATATGTGAGAAAACGCATTGCGACTCCCGATTCAGCTTCATTGCGAGGGGATTTTCCGTATCTTAATTCCATAGATTCTGAAGTTGGTGCGAAACCACTGAGAAGATAGTTGCAAAAGTAGCTTATAAATCTGTCACAGAACAACATTTCACGCAATAGAACAATAATAAGTCTTCTTCAGAAATATTTTTATTATATCCATGAAGCAAAATATCAAGCTGTGAATATACAAGATTTTCAGGCTCACTTCTACCCATGCCATTTCAAATATAATTTCTAATATTCCTTTGTAGTTACGACGGGGGCATGGACGTAGAAAACATTTTTAAATGCCTTTGCCTTTTGGCTCTGGATTGTTTTTAAATGTGTCTAAGGGGAATAAATAGAAGCATGCAAGGAAATGTTATTATATTTGCACATTGTTCCTTCTACCAATGCGCTTTGTCATTGTAAAAATGAAAGTAAAGTCCTAAGGTACTTTCGAAGTATTGCTGCGGGCGAAACTTTTAAGTAAATCTGCTACAATGTAATAACTCTAAAAATTTGAAACGTAAAGATCTTGGCTTTGCTTACCGCATGTGTTTTATTAATGTATTAAGTTTAGAATAAAATGCACTCTTTCAGCTATGCTTGTGAAAATATGTTCAAGTAAATCTAAAACTCTTGAAGTAGGCAATGTAGGGTCCTTGTTCTTACACACTGCCCTTACTTCAGGACGGAGACCATTTCTAATATTCCATTCTCCGGCTTTGGCGGGGATAAAAAATTTGGACTCCTATCCTAATTGCATGATATACTTTGTTAATTTATTCGACACCATTAAACATCCTTAAATAGAAAATGATGTTGCTAACAATTTATGGCAATATAATAAGTACTGTTATAAGACTTTACTTTGATTCATTTGTGTGACACACATTTGAAAGCTGAATTTTTTAAAGTTTTGAAAGAAACTTTATGCCAGACAGACAAACAGAAAATGTTCCTTCCACTCAATAAAAAGGTATGCGAGGATATTCAAAATAAATATATGTTCAATCATATAAAGTTCAGGCAGAAATCTGCAAAATAAAACAAGAAAAGAAAAGAACTTCACTGAAAGATATACATAAGTATCAAGTTGGATTCATTTCATGATACGAGTACAATATTATAATATCAAACTACAAGATATAAATATACGCACATGATCGTGTTTTAAATCGCGTATTTAATATACAAAAAAGGCTGACATTTTCTACACTAAACGTAAAATCAGAAAGTTGCATGAACCTTTTTAAGGTGCTGAATCGATTATGAATAAGACACCAGCACAAGTATTCGGAAAGAAGGAACACATAGAAATAATAGCAACATTTTCAATATTGTCGATTTTGTTGTTCTTTAGGGATTCTGTTTCTCTATTTTTTACAGTCATATGTATTGATAATGTAATATTACACGAAATTTTCTGTAGAAAGTATAATACAACTTTAGTTCAAATGGTCTTTTTTCATCATTATTACATCGCTTGTTTCGGTCATGTCGGTGAAACTAACGGCCATATATATTTGCAAACCATGCTTCTTCAAGACAAAACAAAATACGCTGTCAGCATTTAGAACGTTTTAAAACCTGTTGCTTCGAAAATGTTCCGTATCTTGTAATTGACATGTAATGTAAATCTGTAACCATTGATTTTTATTATTAATAATATATTTATTTGGATATTAAAGGTTGTCCATATTCATTCTATTCAAACTATTCATTTTTGTGGTATGCATGATTTTTCATTTGGATGTGAAATTTTGTAAAATATCATAAAATTATCTATACTTTTGCAGCAGAAGAAAAATATTATTAAATGAAATAATGCAAGTTTGGGGTTACATTTTCATTTTTCTTTGTCATTGAGCTATACTTATTGATTTTGATTTTTCGACGAATTAAAATGATTGGTTCTAAAGTAAATTTTAAGGTTAAAAAAAGAAGCAGCTTTAAACTAATATTTTATTAAATTAAATGTAGGTTTTGAATTCCAAGGTTCAACTTATTTTTTATCTTTAGGTTTCCTAAACTTACGAATAAAATTAATAGAAAGGTTGAAACTTTGTATCTTGTCTTATATTTTTTCCACTTCCCTTATTATTGAAGTAAGCAATGTGAGATTATTGGTTTTAACTGATACAATTAAAGCGTTCATTTTATAGAGTGTAAAAAAACAAACAACACATGTTAAGTAACATTCTTGTTTTTCTATTTACTTCATAGGACGTGACACACTGACTGAAGAGCCAACAAAGATTAAACTTTCCGGAGTATCGGTAGACATGAATAGGGCTATGTTGAAAAGATTCTTTGAAAACGCGATAGATTTTTGTGGAAAAGTTGTTGAGGTGACTGTTAATCCTAAGGAGAGTTCTGCTATTATCACATTTGATACGTCTGCAGGTAAGAAACTGTAATAAATATAATCGTAAAATCAGTCAGTTATAATCATTAAATATATTTATTAAAATGTTCTTTATTTGGTCTCAAATAGTTTAAGGAAAAAACAATCAGATAAAAAAATACAATTTTCAGCTCAAAACTGCAGGATGAAATGATTATACAAGTTAATTTTGTCACTGCATTCAATGACATGTTTTGTCAGGAATACACATTTAAGCATTCTCTTTTCAGCTGTATATGAAATAATGAACAAGAGACCAATGACTATTTTGGGGTTTAAAATTGATGTAGATGTTTACAGTAAGTAAGATTTGAGCACTTTAATTCCCGTTAAACAGTTTACCTTTTTCCTTTGTCTTTTTTTCAAATATGCAGATTTAAAAGGTAAAAAGCGACACAAGTGAGTAAAATTGAAATTAATTAATTAGTTTTCTTATGCGATAAACTTCATTCAAAGTGAAACAACTTAAGAATAAAGAATATGTGGAAGTATCTATATGCCCATCCAAGAGTAAAAACAATAATGTGCAGGTAATGTTAACATAACTTCACATTCTGCCATAAATGTTCTATCAATACCCTTTAGAATTTTATCATATTCAAATGTCTTTTTAAACTATAGACGGAAGTTTTCGGCCGAAGGCCGTCCGATTTCACCTTGACTTCCGCTAAAATTAACAGTAAAGAAATGAATATAGGCTGAATCTTCACTGGTCATTTAACAATTATAGCCTGTTGTTTGATACTTTAGAAGAGCTTCCGTTATAGGTAGAGGTCTGTTTGATTGTCCGATGGCAAGAAGTGTTGGAAAAAAATATAAATAAGAATAAATATATAAAAACACAATAATGATATTGTCTAGATGTTTCTAACAGCTTTTGAATAAATATATGAAATTAAATATGACAGGTCGCCTTATTGATACTTTTGCGTTCGATTGGGTTTCTCTTCTAAGCTGTTCTATTCATTATATTCTCTTCTCGAACCGGGCATAACACGATTATAACGAACTTTCGACTAATTTACAGTAACTGTTGCAAATTTTTACGTAGAATTAGTGTACAGTATCTACTTAATCTTTGTTTTATTATAAATTCCTATTCAAATCAAATTCCATTTTGATTAAAATCAAATAATGTAAGTAATATTGTTTCAATCTAATATGACAATTAATGGGGAAAAACATTGCGGGTAAAAATGAAATGAAACTATTAAGGACAAATAAACTGTTCTGTTTGCGGTTATCATGGTAAGTAGTAGCTTATCGTATGCAAGTTAACAAGTTTGACTTCGGCCGAGTATCTATTTAAAGATAATTCTATTCTTGTTTATGTTTTATATTTTTATAACTCATTCTCAATTATTGTTTATTTACAACATTTATAGCATTTCTTCTTTATTAGTTTGTTCAATTTGACAGCTAAAATAAATACAATATCACATAACTATAAATCAGTAGCATTATTCAAAACTTCTATTTCATCTAACGAAATAAGTAATAACAATAAAAGTGACATCTGAAAATAAAGCCAGACTGTTGTTGGGCAGACATATAGAAGTGAAGCCAAAAAGGGATATACTATATAACTAAAAGCACATATATTTTCAAGCTTAATTCGATTATTAGAAATAATATTTTGATATGTTTGAATAATTTTAGAAACAATGCAATCGTTGGACCAATTTCCCCTTTCAGAATTATGCATTGAATTTTACTTTCACTTTTTTACATCAAGCTTGTCCAAACAGCATTTAAATATGTGCTTTTAAGATAGTTCTTCTTTTTGCACTAGTTCTTGCTAGACATATTACAATCATTAGACTAGCTCAACATTCAAACAACTTTAAAAAAGTATCAAAACAATAAATTTCTTTTGAAGGGGACAAAATCTATTCAGAATCTGAACATGCCGAAAGAGACGTACAAGGACCAGAATCATTACAAACAACAGGTTGCATTATTATTCAGATTTATGACTGTAGCATATACTGTTATAATAGATAGATAAATATTTCACCAAAAGTAATTAATACAATGAAAAAAACAAAAAACAATGAAGAATATAATAATTATCCTAGTGTAATTCAAAGAATTTTCATTATAGGTCATTGTCTTTTATTTTCAAATAACAATATAGAGCTTATTAATATGTAACATTACAATACGCAATCGACTCTTTTAGGGACGTGTCATAAGTTTTGTTGTTTAAACTTATTACTCTAAATATAAATGTATTTTTTTCCTTCTTATCGTACAAATTATTTTGCACGTGCAGAAACAGAACCGGATGGTAAATTATTGTTTATTTATTTAAACAGTACCAAAACGCTATATATTCCTCTTTTCACAATATGATTAAATTAAAACGCTAATTATTCAATGACACCTCTGGCGACAATTGAGTATGTTATATTTTCTTTGAGAACTTGAAAAATTGAAACTGTAGATATTCTGACTGGACTTGTTCATTGTCGTACAAAATGCGTAATGATTTTTAGAAACTGTTAAATCTTTCTGAGAAAATCCCTTCGTTTCCCTTTCTTGTGAATCAAATAAATTACATACACTGTGTTTTGTGCTATCCAGTTTAATAATTTCATTCAATGGTAGCATTGGTTAAATCACTTAACTTCAACATTGACCGCAGTTAATACAATGTATCTGATATATACTTGTGGCACATGATTCATAAAACAAAACCAAGATATTCATAACGTAAGTTTGAGGGTTTTTTTTAAGGTGAAACTATCATTTCAAAACCCGTCTCTATTGGAAAAGTAACGAAGGGAGCAGAAACTTCAGGCCAAATCAATGACAAACGTAAGTAAAATTGATTGTGTTTCCTTGTACATTAAGTACATTATTAAAAAAATTTGAAAAGACGACAAAACAGAGAAATTTAGTAAATATATTTCTTCTTTATTCGAGTACGTCAATATTACATATTTCTATTTAGTCGAACTGAAAGTCATTTAGAAACATAAAGAGACAAAACTGTAACTTGTAAATAATTGAAAGAAAATTGCTTTTGCATATTCAACTATAACGACGTTTCAAATTTTTTAGCTCCATATTTTTAATTCATTTATTTAGTTGGATGTTTTATCATTTTTGAGAAAACTCTTCTTTTCTCACTTTCTCTTTCTTTAGAATGCTAGCATGCTATTTGGCTGCTGTAAACGTTTCCCGAACTTCTTATCAGTGTTTTATTACTTTCTGGTCCGGGATTATTTTGCCCAACACATTTAATGCTTAATATTAATATCGCAATTTTATCAAAGACAGAATCTGTTTTTTTACATGTTTTTCTGTTGGTTAATGTTGTTGTTTTCATTGCTTCAGAGACTGAGTGGTTACCGATTTTCCATATATTTCAAAATCCTTTTGTTGACAAACACTTCATTGGTAAACGCTTGACCGGAACAAATCTTCTACATGCATTGAGGGTAGTCAACATAACTTAGGACAATTTTTCACCATTGTAATGCGGAAGGTTGCGTATAAAATTTAGGTCCCTGCGGTCAAGGTCAATGTCACAAATATGGGTCAAAGTACAGATATAAATATGAAAATATGTATTTGGAGAATTTAGTCATCATGTATTGAAGGATTGAAACACAAATGGTCATGTTCATGACTACGGGTGTGAAACATGTAATTAAGGTTAATATTTGCAAGGTCAAGATTACTAAAGATGATAAAATACAATGTAACTTTCGAGTTCCTGAACTTCTTAAATCAGGAAACTTCTAAATCCGAAATTTTTCAGGGTCTCGAAATTTCTCCTTCTGTTTTCTGTGTAATTAGTTCCTCTAAATAACGAAGCTTCTAAATTCTGAATTCCGAACAATTTTTTAGGTAAAATGTTGGTGTTATCAATTCAAATTTTCTTCCAAAATCTGAAAATTGAAAAGGTGTGAAGAAATATTATACTTGCGATTGTAAGTCCCCCAAACTTTCAGTATATTCCAGAGTAGCATTTATCTTGACGCCTATAATAATCTTAACCTGTCAAGCATGACAACTTCTTGATGAAAGTGTTAAAAATAAGTATGTGATGAAAAAAAAACAAAAAAAAAAACAGAACAACAAAAGGGTAAAAAAACACAAAAGCAGGTTAATCGCAGGTAAAACATAAAAATATTAAGAATAAATTGTTAATAAACGTTATGCTATTGTATCCACAAATTCAGTAATAGGTGGAAAGGAAATCTAAAATGTTATAGTCTGTCCCACTAAAAATGGAAATGAACTTTTGCCTGGTATGAATTAACAAAACGAGGTTGAACAAAAATTAAACTATTTTTGTAATCTTAATAAATGTCACCCTCGAGATTTTCCAGGATTTTTCTCTAAAGTGTCTACTTTTCTTCTGAAAGCAAATTTTGATTTCTCTATGGTAACTCTCTGTTGTTTATTTTCCGTAGCCATTGCCGAAGTACTCCTCATTTGAAGATGAACGTGAGAAAGCACGTGTCATGTTTCTAAACTATGCATGAGGTTCTCGGGGTCGTTTCATGATTATTTTACAAAGCTGGATCTACAAGATGTAACAGTTTAGTTACAATGCATGATGGAAAACTTTAAAAAAATAAAAAAATAAGCAACAAGAACACAGAGTCACATGGAGTAGATCTAGAAATTGCACTTATTTTAAGCTGAATAGAATTTCTACTGTATGCATTTCGAAATTGATCTTTATAAACGTCACGAAAAATTCGCATTCTGAAGATTCCTTCATTGCCATTTTCTATCCGATTCCGTAGATCCCATCAAAACTCCTGAATGACATGGCTCCTACACTTATGATGATCCAGATGTTTTAAACTGTTCATCCGTCTCACCATTAAAACATTATTCAATTTGTGGAGTTATCTCGGTTAGCAAATGAAATATGTAAATGAAACACATCATAATTCCGTATGTTCCAAATCCATAATTCAAGAACGGCCCATCAATTTTAGTTGTCAACATGACAATGTTTATAACTATAGAAAATGGATTCCCGACGAAAAAACTCTGTTACGTCAACAACAATTTACGAAATAGATGACATAACAAAAATGCCTCGCGCTTTTATGGATAATTCCAGCTGTGGCATTGACAGAGGGCGGTTAGGCATATGAAACCTCATACAGATATTTTTAAGCTTTGAGATAAATTTGGTTTGATGGCATTTAATATAATTTTTGTATACCCAGATTTTGCAACTTAACTGTTTAAAATTACACCTTCAATTCATAAATAAATGCTTTGGTAGTTTAGCGCGGAGGAAGGTAGTCTAGTACTGGTGTAACTCTCCAGGAACGATTGTTAGGAAACTACCCGCCTATATGACTGAAATACTGTTGGGAAAAGGCGTAAAATGAAACAAACAAACATATATTGATAATAAAACTTTTGATAACATTTAAATAATTTTAAACACACTTAATGACATTAATCTATAACAGTACAATACTACTTCCATTAATTACATATAGATCTAACCTTCGTTTTGATTTTATGTTTTTAAACTATTTTATATATTTCTCTGAAATGACTTTCCTATATATTATCTTGTTATTCAAAACTTCTGTAAGTCCTTCTCTTTTAGCTACAAAATACTATAGTATACAATACGCGGTATCTTTTCTCCCGCGAAAAAAATGCTATTGTTTTTTCACTGAATATTTTCAAATTTTAGGACGGCTTAAATTATTGAGAATGTCACTCGGTGTTTCTCTTTGACTCGATCTCCCCTTCACATTAACATTATATGTAACACTGTGTCTACAAAAAAACACACTTATTGTCGCTTATTGAACGCTCCAATTATAACTTATTCTTAATAATATCAAATCACTGCCAGTTATTTCTGGACATGTTGTTGAATTGTGAGACGGAAAGTTAAATCTGTATTTACGAGCTTAAAGTGTATAGGCTCAAACTAGAAAACATGATATTATATTCTTATAATTTACATTTTCCTCGAACGCGAGTCTGTGTTCTCTCATTAGCGAAGGAGTTAGTTAAAGTAGACACTGTGGTTACAAGCAAACCAATGTTGAACGTATAGTGAATCAGTTCTCCTTTCTATATATTTCTTGTCAGATTTGCATGATAATGTGGTTTTTGTTGGCAATTTCTTGTGACAGTTGAACCTACGGAAAATTTTAGCGCACGAACATCGCACCCGAAATAAGAAGGGTAACATATGTTTGTATCCCATCGAACCTGGTCAATTTAATTATTTTTGAATAGACGTGATACATACTATTGGACAGAATTCAGACAACTACAGAATTATGTAAATTAAACATTAATTTAAGAACCATGTTTATAACCTCTAACTAGTGTTCCCGTTCCCTACGACGTTTTGCGGTATTCAATATACGCGCTTGATTGAAAAGCTATCTAATCAAGTCACTTCATTGCTCTTTTTTCATAAAAGAATATAAAAACGACAGTATATCATGGTAATTATATAAATTTTGTGTGTTAGAATTTATAAAGCGGTTACTGATATTTTTACTTAAAATTGTTTAATGGTTTGCTATTAAAATTGCCTTTTTGACACCAACTTTGTACTCAATTTCTTCTTAATGATAACATTTAGCTATTGATCCACCAGTAAGTAAATAAGAATAATCAAATTTTTTTTATAATTACCGAGTACATTTCACGTTAATTTTGAGGCGAACCCTACATGACGTCTATATTGGCGCCGCCATTTTGAAATGGACGTCATGTCAGGTTACAATGTAAGTCAACGGGAAAAAATATAATTTTAACATTTTGACCATATTACTGACTTATGAAAAATGAAACATGCTAGATATTGACGTCTGGTTTAAAACATGACATTTATTAAAATTTCACTTAATTTAATAAAAATTGATATATTCTTTGATGGGACAGTACTTGATACTGCTTGTTCGAGCAAAATTTTCTGGATTCAGCGGATTTTAATACTTGGCCAAAAGTCTCATTGAGCCTAGTATTGCGCGCATATCCAGAGTCTCTCTCCATATTCAACGGTCACAGATTGTTCAATTTAATTTAACAGGGAGTATGTCATGGACCGTTAAGATTATTTATTTTGGGTTCTAGCACCAAATGATAAGTTCATCTAAGTGTTACCATGTATTTGGGTTCAATTATGTTAAGGACCTAGGAGATAATATCCCGAATGTAACATATGCATTACTACATGCCATTTCTGTTCAAAGAGCTTTTGTGCGTTCGTACCTTGCGACCAATGTGCCCTTGATTTAGTATTAAATATGAATAACGGATGTCTTTCAGGGACGCGACACTGTGAATATTATAATGTGCAGTATTTTTTCTTTAGATTGTTCATGATCAAGGCTCCAGGTACGCATGTAAAAGTCTTTATCTGCATTGATTTTTCAACTTTTCAATTAAAACGTATCTGGAAGGCATTTAGTAGTGAAACTTTTTTATGACTTTTAAAGCACATACTAAAACTTCAAATATCTCCTAAACTAGGTTCCGGTTCTATCAAGGCGTTGTAAAGATGTATTAGAACTCTATCAGGCTGCCAAACTTAGCCTTTAAGTCATATAGGCAAACCTAAACGTCTAGCAAGAGCACTGTGTTGGAAAAGGTTGTGTAACATGACGAAATTCGTTCATTAGTTCTATAGGTGTGGGTTTGTCAGATGTCCTTCTATTCACATTCGGTTCGTTTAAGGAAAATATATGGTGGTGATTCCATAGCAATCAGTGTGGATGTACCGTGACCAGCCCAGGTTCGCTTCTTGTGCGCAGAAAGCATGGTGATGCAGTGGTATAATGTGATTCAGCTAGCGGCCCGTTATACTTTCACGCGGACATAGCGCCACCACTTGGATCAGGCCGAGCGTTTGCGGCAGTCTCAGGTTGCATATTAAGGCCTCGTGGGCTAAGAACAATAATCATATGATAACGGTTGCACGTAACGAGGTTGCCTTTACACACAATTTTTAGTTTGATAAGAAGCATCGCAGTCATTGTTGCAGATGCTCATTGCGATCTCCCTTTAGTCTATTCCCAAGGGTCATTGTCCGTTTTTTTAAAACTTGATGCCATGTGTTTCTCCTTCTAAAACCCTAGCGGGATTGGTAAAGTGCTTATCTTCAAAGATACATTTCACAATGTTTTTTCAAAATATTTTGTTTTTTCGTTATTTAGTGTTTTATTATTCCTGAATCGCGTATCTGTAGCCATAATCATGTGCTCCTAGCGATAAATTCTATTCACACATTACCTTCGAAACTGTCGTGCAGTTCTGGTTTCTTTATCCCATATTTTAAACGACACATTCATACTCCGAAAGCTCGTTATTTTCAGTCTTCTTGACCATTGTTCCATATCAAAATATGTTTTCTCATCCATCTTTTGAATACACACTAGCGTATGACGAGAGAATCATGTTCTAAAATCCTTGTCTTTCGCTCGATTATTTCAGTGTCTCTGATGAGATACATAGAAGGCGCTCATGATGTGTGTACTACTTCTTTATTTCAGCCTTGTTCCTATGTTATGTTTTTGCCATTTATTAGTTTAAAGTTGACTCGTTAATACTGTGTCGATGGTATTCGCATTTGCAAACATTTTAGTTACCTGTTAAAGCGAGAGACCACCACTAGCGACACTAAGATTCTGGTTTGCTTACGTGCTACGAGTTTCTACTATGTATGTATACGTCTATTGAATTGTTTACAAAAACTTTCATGCAGGCCTCTTTTGTTATGCTTTAGACGATGATGTTCTCATGTCAAAATCTAACTCGTTGAGTATTCCCATGTCAGATTTTGTTCTTATACGATGCCGTTACTTCGAGGATCAGTTTTATATGCCAGTATCTGAGGTGCAGGAATGGCTTTCGGAGGAAAGAGAGCCGTAGCTCGTCTTAGTGTGCTGACTCTTTAGCCTATGTGCTAATAGCAGTTTGTGGCATTGCTTCGAAATTATCAACATCTTTCTGTTAATAAGAAATGATGCCGTTAACTAGTTTTCTGGTATTCAGAGTCTTTAAACAAATTCGAGTACTGTCGCGCAATCTGGGGGCTACTGGGAACTGACCGCATGCACGTCTGGAATACTAGAGGTGTTGAACTTTTATCTTATGTACACACGTCTAACCCTATTATATAACCAAATGTTGAAGTGACATTGCAGGTGTAAGCTCAACGCATACGTACGATTTATTTCACTCAAGGAAAGACTATTCTCGAGTCGCTATTAGAATAAGTATATTATTTCTAACATATCACAGATAATCTGTCGAAATATAACCGCAAACAAGCAAAAAGAAACTGGTTACTTTACTGTGTTATTACAGTATAAGCTTTTGATTCAGCTGTATGATACATGTAATATATAACTTACAGATATAAATTTAAATATTGACACCACATAGTTGTGTTTTAATCGGGTAATAGGCAGCTGTCAATTCTCACTTAATTAGAATCGGACAAGTGCATGAAAGGTGTACAGATGTGAGAATAGCTTGATATAGACATGGACTTAGCTTCGGAAACGGCGGAACAATGTGAAGTGAATATTATTTTTCATCTTGTTGCGTTTTGTGGCTTCTATGAGGATTCTGGTTGTCGTTTATACACAGAGTTGTTGTATAAATGAGAAGTAGACATCCATAATCTTCTATTTTCAGACGTAACACTGAGTTAATGGTCGTCTAAGATCAATTATACATCGCTTTCGTGGTGAACACGCTAATATATGCCGAAACATGCGTGTTCAAGACCAAAACAGCGTCAGGATCTTCAGATGTTGTATCAACGGTTGTGACGAGTTGACCGCTCTCTGTATTTTTACATGTAATGAACTGTACACATTTGATTTTTTTCTTAAAAAGATATTATTTGAATATTAATTTCACACTATTGCTTTTGTGGCCTATGAATAGATTAAGATGAATTATTTGGATAGCTTGAACACGATCAGCACTTTTATAACTTAAATGTAATTTGAATTCCGAGGTCAACTAGATTTTGGTGATCTTTCGTTCGCTTACTACGATTGACATGAAGCAACGATTGAACCTATGATCTGTGCATAATTTTTCACTTCCCTTTTTGAAGTTACTCCAATTGACATTATTGTTTTAACTGATTAATTTAATCGCTTTTTTGATTTAACATGCACATAATCATTGATGATAAGTATCTTTTTTCCGTTCACTCATAGGAGTGACAGTCATTCGACTATATTCCACAAACGGATTAAGATTCCAGTTTGGAGTTTATAGACATGAATCGGTTGATGTTGCGATTCTGAAGCGATAGATATATTGACGAAAGTTGTCGAGTGCTTGTTTATTCTAAGGAGATTCCAGATGTCCTTTGAAAGCCGTCTATGTCAATGATGAAGTTTCTTATGACTATTGCTAATCTATACTCATGTAACCAGTAGTTAAATTTCTTTCTGTCGCAAATAGTTTAGGATTAATCTAGCATCCTTTAACATTTTGTCTTTTTACCGACGTAATACGGTCCTCGGTCATCGGTCGTGGTCGGTTGGGTTCGTGGTGCCACGGTCACGATGTTATTATGTTCCTCGTCCGGGCATACTTAGATAATTGTTGGGTGTTGACTATCAGTGTACATGCTTTACAACAATGGGCTGCATCATAGAGGAGAGTAGCAGGTTATTCCAACTAAAACCATAACGGCCTCTTCTTACGAATTTTATCAAAGTTAGGACTTCTTGTATGCTTTACTCTTACAATGTTTCTTTTTTCCCGTGGATACTTAACTTTAGTGACTTATTGGTTGCATTTTAATGTGTCACTTAATTGCGATATGCTCAGAAGTCGCTGCCAGTCGCCAAAGAAACCATAAATATCGTCTCGTACTTAATTATCTGTGTTAGGTTCTACTTTGTGTACTTTCCTGCCTTGGCATCAAATCTTGAGAACGTTGGTTGGGGAGTACAACCACTTCAATGCAATCGTCACGGGCACATAAGATAAGAGGACTCTTCTATCAGGTTGCATCATGCGTACCATGCTCTATCAATAACGATTACATTAGTCTATGCTGCACCTTCTACCATCTTTCTTCACTTACTTGCTCTTGCTGCCAGTCTGCCTATTAAGTCGGGACGTAATTATTTGGGATGATTATGACTAAAGATGTTGACCGTTCAACGACGTTATACAGTATGGTCAAGTGCGTGCCAGAATCTATCTTACGCTTCTAATCTTGTCTTACTTTAGCAGAGTTGAATGCCCAGTTGAATTAGTTACCTATCAACCATAGTGCGGCCGCATGACATTGAAATCTACCTGGTCGGAATTCTTATCTGCTTCAATTGTGCATGGTCGATACGTCAAGCGTGCATTCCTTATTTGGGTATTTGAAGGAGGAGTCACTCAGGTCTTGATTTTGCGAGTATACTAGACATAGGTACTTACAAAACCGCCCAGTCCCCCCGCGGCGCTCCGCGTTTCGCCCGCCGTAACTTTAGGGTCAAGCAGATTTAGGCTTTGACAAGTAGTAGTCACCCCCCCCTCCGGGGCGCGAGTGGAGACATTGTTGATCTAGGTCCGTTTAGTTAGGTCTAGTCGTCGGTTTCGTCGTTAGCCGCCTGTGCTGGTCGTACGGTTTCTTCGGACGTTTCGATTAGCTTGAGCGTGAAGAATGCTGTTATTGAATGTACTTCGGCTCCCTATCAAGCTATGAGAACATCGAGCCACGGCGATTTAGCATATCGTATAATCTCAGGTAGGCAATCTATATATATTGTGGTGCGAGACCAACGAAGGATGCAGGGTGCTCAGGTGAACCACAAGAGGCGAAACCATTTCGATCTGTCAGGATTGTTCTCAGCGGTGGTCTAGTATTCAGTTTAGATTGGTGTGCGTGTTTGTCGTTCGGTTTTCATCACTTTCAGACTTGAGCTTGCTGTTGCGTCTCTTGTCTGAGAGTTATGAAAGCTCCGAAAGTATGTACTAGGTAGTGGATAGGTCGATATCAAATTTTTAGCTGCCATGCCAGTATATTGTAGAGATAAGCCGTTCTTGACTGACACTTATTCTGATTTTGGCATCTAATTTGGAAGGTCTTTGATCTTTTTTACGGTTTAAATGGCCACAGATGCTAATGTGGTGGAATTCAAAGAATTCAGATATACCAAATTGTCAAGAGCATGCTGGACGATTGATAATGAACTGCCAGGTTGCCAAACTCCATTAGTCAACTATCTATATCTTTGGGACTGATATTACGTTTTAGTTTTTGCCTTTGTATACTTTTGCACTTCTGTGTCTAGACTTTAGATAGCACTCCGCCATGCACTACAGTAGTTGGGATTCGACATGAACTCACAATGCTTCAAGCACAATGAGAGATGCAGTGCACAGAACCATAACCCAGCTGACTTACCATTACAGGAGTTAATCCTTGTTACTTTTCCTTGTCCGGCATGATGGACGACTTGTCGGCATTCATACAGCTCTTTCGATCGGAAGCCATTAGAGAGTGAGATCCTTGATAGAACCTAACCATTTGACAATTACAGATGTTATTCCCCTTGTACTTTTCCTTGCCCGCATAACTGAAAGTTACTCGTTGGATTCTCAAACAACGTTCCATGTGGAGCAATAAGATAGGTGTAGTGCACAAACCTACTTGTCCATTTATTATAGAGTATTCCTTTTTATTACTTTTCCTATTTTTTCTTGTCCAGTGCATACTTGAACTACTGGGGATTCATACAATTTCTTACAATGGCGTTTATGGAGTAGCGCAAGTGTCCAATACATATTCTATCTTACTATTTAGTTTATCCTTTGATTCCTTTCAATTGCCATTTGCATAACTTGATTCAGGTAATCATACACATGGTCAGAGCAGTGAGATGATGCCAGCTGCACAGACCAACTTATCTTGACTTATTACAGTTTTATGCCCTTTGTTACTTTTTTGCCAGTTGATATTAAAACTAGCGTTGGAATTTCAGCATCTATACATGGTCAAGTACATGCGGAGCGTTCTGCTGTGTACAACCCAAGACTTCCTCTTGTTCTTTCTGATTATCTGTCTTTGTTACGTTCCTTGCTCCGCGCATACCTTAAATAACTTTGGTTTAGCTTTTCATGGATAATTCATACATGGTCAGTGGCAGTTGCTCAAAAGCTTGAACTCTTCCTGTACTGACGTAGCGTATTTAATAAACTCATCAATTAGTCACCATTGAAGGAGCACATAAGAACCAACTATTCTTAAATTGCCGCAACCATTTACTCTATCAATTCGTTTGCAAGTATTTTGTCTATTAACTTCTCGTTTCGAAGCAGTTCTTGGTTTTAATTCACTTTATAGTTCTGTTTTATTATTCTTACAACCTTATTCAGTTTTTCCCCAATTAGAATCAACAATCTTGTTAAAACTCTAATGTTCACGTGATAAAAGCTATTGAGTCGTTTTATCCGCAAAGAGTGAATTTAAACCTTGTAACATGTAATTTACAAATTGGGAACTTAAATCGTATTATAATTCACTGCAGCGTAAGTTGATAATGTGTAGTTTGTAAACTTCTTTAAGGATCTTTTAGATTTAATGTTTTGTCCTCTTTGTCTAGAAAGAATCTCTTTAGTCAATGGACAATTTATTTCTGGTTTAATTTGAACTATCAGTCACAACTTTCTTATAAAATAACTTCAGATTGTAATAAGCAATTACAGGCTGTTTTCATTGCATTCCAATTACATATTTGTCGACCATTTTTAGCGTTTCCTTTAGCTGAATAAAAAGGCAGGACCATTTACTTATGGGTTTAATTGTTGATGTGTACAGTATAGTATATTTACTTTAATCTGACTGTAAAATGTTCAAAACTCGTTAGAAGCTGTTATGCTAATTGTGTCCTAATTCAAGTCGCACTTTAGTATAAGTTCCAACTAATAAGCTTGCTATTAAGCTTATCAAAACACTTCCATTTTCATTATCCACTACCCTTAATATTAACCCATGCACTTACTTTTTCTATGGTTATAATTTATATAACATCCCAGATAATCATACTGTTATTGCCAACATTGCTGGATATGCGGTATCTGTGTGTTTTATATGTGCATGACTTTAGGAAGGCAGACTAGATTCAAACATTTTACGGAATGTGATATAGTTCTTGTGACCTTGTGTTCGATGGACTATTCTGTTTTTCACAATTATTATCGTCGACTAGTACGAATTTGCTATTTTGAAAATTGTTGTAGCCAGAAGCTCGACATTTCCCTAGATAAAAAAGGTACGAAATGTGGTTCGAATTGCGCAGTTGTGCGTGGTTTTGAATGTTAATAAATCTAATTTGTAAGTATTTGTCCTTGATCTTTGTTATTATTTTTCATTGCAATCGGTAATGTAACTCGAAAGATAATTAACCGGATCTTGAGGTTTCAGGAATGTTGGGAGCATGTACAGTTATGACCCGTGTATTATTCAGATTATTCCCTGTCTTAGATAGAGGATTTATCTAGGACTGTCGTCCTGAATGATTGGGTGTGAGGCATTGGTGTTAGCAGTTTATTTTTTTAGGATTTTTTATGGATAAAATTTAAATTTGAATCTTATTTGAAAAATCGAATGTCACATGAAAAAATGCAAGTCTTTAATTCCAAACCACTTACTGTAGGGAGTTATGTTAAAATTGTTTATCTCTCTGTCCCCATACCGACGTCACGGATCTGATATGTGAATTAATTTTAAAGCAAATCGATGAGGTCAACTTGAAGGGATGTTTTTTATTGACGCAACACGAGTTGCTAGTGGTTTGTTTGTCTCTTGTCAACCGTCATCTATTAATTAAGTCATTCCTTTATTCGGCTACCAAAGCACACAGTTTATTATCTGTACATTCAAATTATCAGTCTTTTAAGGCGTGCCATTATGTATGTTGTTATAAACTTATTATCTTCTAATAAAGCAATTGTTCCTTAAAGGTCAAATTCGTTGCCCGTGCACGAAAAAGAATCAGATGTAATTTGTTTCATATTTTATTAGCGAAAACAACGCTTACTAATAAATTTATGCTTTATTTAAGTTCTTACTATTTACATTAAATGTCTCGTTTAACACTCATGATAGCTTGAATGTTTCCCAAATATTATTCGATGGGAAAAAAGCTCACATAAGATTTATATTACTGTGTAATCAGGGATTTCTCATTAAGACCATTGCCTTTATTTTCGATAACAATTACAATATTACTCTTCATTGCAATACGCAATCGACTCTTTTAAGGACGGGTCATTAGTTTAATTCTCATTTATTACACTTAATATAACTGCACATTTTTCCTCCTTAAGGTACAAATTCTGTTGCACGTGCAGAAACAGAACCGGACGGTATTTTTTTGTTTTCATTATTTATCTAGACAGTAAAAAAACACTTACTTCAAAATATATGTTTAAATGTCAAAAAACATACAATTTTCTACTTAATACATATTACAATATGATAGAATTATCAAGCTAATTGTTCAATGACACCTCTGGCGACAATCAAACATTTAACATATACGTTGAGAATTTGAATAATTGTACCTGTAGATGTTCTGACTGGACATATTCATTGTCGTACAAAATGCATAGTTTTTTGTTTTTTTTTTGAAAAATAAACATTTTTTACTTGAATTTCTGTTAAGTTATGTGTTATACAACGAGAAAACTCATTTGTTTTCCTTTCTGGTGAATCAAATAAAATACAATCACTGTCTTTTGTGCTATCCAGCTTGATACTTCCATTTAATGGCAGTATTGATTAAATCATTAAACCCAACTTTGATCCCAGTAAATACAACGTGTAACATGTGACTTATAATTGCGTTCATTGAACGCCGCCTTTCCTTGTTGATCTTGTTTATCATATTTTATAATACCAAAGACAAGCTGTACATAACCTATGTTTGAATTTTCAGGCGAAACTATCGCTTCAAAACCCAACTCTATTGGAAGACAAACGAAGAAAGTAAAATCTTCAAGCCAAATCAATGACGAACGTATGTAAACTTGATTTTGTTTCATTGTACATTAATTACGCTATCATATACACAGCTTGAAAAAGTCGACAAAACAGAGAAAATTAGTAAAACTATTATTTTTTATACGTTGATATTACAGATTTCTAGTAAGATTAATGCAAAGTGTTGTTAAACTGAAAGTCATTTAAAAACATAAACGACAAATACTATATTTTGTAAATAATTTAAAGAAAATAACTTTTGCATATTTATCATATATCGACGTTTCGAACTTCATAGTTTGCGATGCTCATTGGTTCATTTATTTAGTTAGATGTTTAATCATTTTTGAGAAACCTTTCATTTAAAAGCTAGCCTTCTATTTGACTGCTGTAAAAATTTCCCGAATTTCCTCTCAGTGTAATATTATTCTCAAGTCCGCGATCATTTTTCCCATCACATTAAATGATTAATATATATATATCGCAATTTTAATAACAGACCGAATCAACCAAAATCTGCATTTTCAAGTAATTTCCCTGTTTGTGCTGGTGTTGTTTTTATTGCTTCTGAGGGGTTTCCGAATTTCCAGAATTTTAAAAATCTCTATGTCATTGTTTTGTTCTAGAGGCCTGAATTGTTTTAATACTCCGTTTGGAGAATGGGTTGTATTATAGTTTCACCCCTGGCGGGGGGGGGGGCAGGCGGGCGGGCGGTCAGCGTTCATTTTTTTCCAAATCTCCTAAAGTCATGGAGGAATTTTAATGAAACTTCATAGAAAAGTTCACAACTATGAGACGCTGTGTCGCGCGCATGGAACAAGTCTCTCGGTCGACCTCTGGCGACAATCAAACATTTAACATATACTTTGACAATTTGAATAATTGTACCTGTAGATGTTCTGACTGGACATATTCATTGTCGTACAAAATGCATATAGTTTTTTTTTAAAAAATAAACATTTTTTACTTGAATTTCTGTTAAGTTATTTGTTATACAACGAGAAAACTCGTTTGTTTTCCTTTCTGGTGAATCAAATCAAATAAAATCACTGTCTTTTGTGCTATCCAGCTTGATACTTCCATTTAATGGCAGTATTGATTAAATCATTAAACCCAACTTTGATCCAAGTAAATACAACGTGTAACATGTGACTTATAATACCAATGACAAGCTGTACATAACCTATGTTTGAATTTTCAGGCGAAACTATCGCTTCAAAACCCGACTCTATTGGAAGACAAACGAAGAAAGTAAAATCTTCAAGCCAAATCAATGACGAACGTATGTAAACTTGATTTTGTTTCATTGTACATTAATTACGCTATCATATACACAGCTTGAAAAAGTCGACAAAACAGAGAAAATTAGTAAAACTATTATTTTTTATACGTTAATATTACAGATTTCTAGTAAGATTAATGCAAAGTATTGTTAAACTGAAAGTCATTTAAAAACATAAACGACAAATACTATATCTTGTAAATAATTTAAAGAAAATAACTTTTGCATATTTATCATATATCGACGTTTCGAACTTCATAGTTTGCGATGCTCATTGGTTCATTTATTTAGTTAGATGTGTTATCATTTTTGAGAAACCTTTCATTTAAATGCTAGCCTTCTATTTGGCTGCTGTAAAAAATTCCCTAATTTCCTCTCAGTGTAATATTATTATCAAGTCCGAGATCATTTTTCCCAACACATTAAATGATTAATATCTATATCGCAATTTTAATAACAGACCGAATCAACCAAAATCTTCATTTTCAAGTAATTTCCCTGTTTGTCACTGTTTGTGCTGATGTTGTTTTTATTGCTTCTGAGGGGTTTCCGAATTTCCAGAATTTTAAAAATCTTTATGTCATTGTTTTGTTCTAGAGGCCTGAATTGTTTTAATACTCCGTTTGAAGAATGGGTTGTATTATAGTTTCACCCCTGGCGGGGGGAGGCAGGCGGGCGGGCGGTCAGCGTTCAATTTTTTTCCAAATCTCCTAAAGGCATTGAGGAATTTTAATGAAACTTCATAGAAATGTTCACAACTATGAGACGCTGTGTCGCGCGCATGGAACAAGTCTCTCGGTCAACGTCATTTGAAAGCGCTTGATCGGAGCAAATCTTCTTCATCAATAAAGTGATTTCATTTCCTGCGGTCTGAAGACCGCAGGGTATTGGTACGCGTTTTACTTTTGAGGCATGGAGGAGCACGTGACCTGTTTTCGGTACATGGAGGAGCATGTGATCTGTAAACCGTATATGATTGGTTAATTGACCTATTCGAAAACCTGGCTAAATACCATTTGCCGGTACGTTACGGATTTACCTCTAGGGAATTAGTCAGGATTACACCTAATTAAGAACAAAAAACGATTACGTGATATTTCTCATTTTCTATAATTATTTTATCCTTAAAGGTGGAAAAACTTGAATATCTCAAATTTTAATATTCGTAGTGGCATATGTCATAATAAATAGAGAAATTTTCTGCGTAAACTTGTGTGTTTACTTTTTTTTTGCTCGAAATTATTCATAAAATGGTAGGCCTATTAAATCATTTTCTTAAAAAGAAATAATTGTTTTATGTTCGACCTTCTTCGGTCATCAACGGTCACCAGTTTCCAAAGACCTTCTTCTATATTGATCGATTATTGTCAACTATATTCCTGATACAAACGTTTATTTATCACCCAAATAATGTTGAGAATAGTTAAATGAAATATCTTTATATCATTAAAAATGTGCCCCGCAGAAAACCATTTTTCTTGTTGTTACTTGGCAGCAATGTAAACATTGTGAAACGGAGTGATGTGTACAGAAATAAGGTCCCAGCGTCCAAAATTAAGGTCACATATAAATGCAAGGACAAGCTCGCTAAAGAAGATAACATACAGAGATATTGTGCAGAGAATTTTATAACATGTATAGAGATTCTAATAAAACTCCACATAAATGTTCACCATTATGAGAAAATGTGTCATGTGCATGAAACAGGTTTGTAGGTAAGAGATCAAGGTCACAATAAGAGGTCATTAAAAAACGCTTGTCCGGCGCAAAACTTCTTCATACACAAAGGGATTTCAGTATTACTTGGCATAAATGCTAACTATTGTAGGGCTCAGTGTTTTGTTTAAAAATTAGGTCCCTGCGGCAAAGGTCAAGGTCACCATAGGCGTCAAATTTCAGATAAAGATATTAAATGTCTATTTGGACAATTTAGTCATCATTTATCAAGGGGTTGAAACACAAACGTCATCATCATGACTACGGTGTGAAGCCAACAATTGGGGTTAGTATATGGTAGGTCAAGGTCACATAAGATTTTAAAATATCAAGATTTTGTCCAGAGGATTCCTCAAACATGCAAAGAGGGATTCTAATGAAATTGCATAGAAATGTTCACAACTATAAGAGGCGGTGTCTCAGTCAAAGGTCAAGGTCAAACTTAGTGGTCATTTAGAATGGCTTTTCCGGAGGAAGACCTCTACATGTATAGAGGAATATCAATATCATGTTTATCATTGTAAGACAGATTGTGATATGTAAAACTCAGGTTCCTGCAGTAGAGGTCAATGTCACACATAGAGGTCAAATTTCAGATTAAATAAGAAAATGTGTATTTGGACCGTTAAGTCATCATTTATTGAGGAACACAAATGGTCATTATCAAGACTAGGTGTTTGAAACATGTCATTTAGGTTAATATATGCATGGTTAAGGTCACTTAAGATATAAAATGTAGAAATTTTGTCCAGGTCATATCTGCTTTACTTAAAAAAGCAGGGATTCTAATAAAAATTCAAAGAAAGGTTTATCACTAGAAGTAGCAGTGTCCTGTGCATAACGCGGTCTCTGATTCAAAGGTCGATGTCACACTACGAGGTCATTTAAAACTACTTATTCGATGCACAATTTTTGCATTCATCGGGATATTTTAATGTTACTTGGCACAAATGTTCACAATTGTAAGGCTTATTATTGCGTGCATAGATAAGTCAAAATTAAGATTAAACTAAAGATGTGAACGTGGACTATTTAGTCATCATTTATTGATGGAATGTAACACAAATGATAACTTTCATGACTACAAGTGTGAAACATGTAATTTGGGTTAATATTTGCAATGTCAATGTCACTAAAGATGGTAAAATATTGAGATATTGTCCGGATATTGCCCAGAGCATATCTCCTATATGCATTACTGTAATGCCTTCATCTCGGTCAAAAACTTTTATGACGGGCGTACTTTGCAAAAATGTTGCCCTTGTTTTATTTTTAAAATATGGAATAACGGATGTCTTTTAGAACGGCGACAACGGTAAAATTAAAAATATTACAAGTTATGTTTATTTAGCATGTTCATGTATACGCACATCAGAATACAGCATTCAGAATGTAATAAGTATCGTCCTTCATCCTTCCCATTTTACTTTTAGACACTTTTTTCAATTAAAACTAATTGGACAACTTACTTTGGACGTGCATTTCTGTAATAAAGATTACATACTGAACTTCAAATATCTCCTAAAAACTAGAATCCGGTTTCTATCAAATTATCTAAAAATGCAATTTCAACTCTATCAAGGCTGGAGAAAACTAGACCTTGAGTCAAAACCGGACAAAACCCTAAATGTCGTTGGTCGTCCTCTTATCTATATGTGCAAGGACCACGGCACAAATTAACACAGTGAATTAAATAGTGTTCTTCCCTATGCTTTAAATATGATCTGGGTCTTGATAAGTTGCGACCTTATTATCCCGAAACAGCATCATCGGAAACAGCATCATCAAAAGATGTTGCTACAGGAAATAAAGTTGTCCGCTATTCAATAGCATACGATTTTTTCATCAGGTTTATATAGAAGCTTTATTAATATGCCACAATTTGTGCCCGATGGATACCTTATCTCCTCATTGATGGCGAAAAGTTGGAGCGCGTACGAATCGCATTACAGCCTCTCCATGAACACAATAATACTTACTGAATCAAATTATGGCGCGATCGTGGTTGATTTAGATAAGCACAAGGGTAAGGGGACAAGGTCTGGATTAACGACAATGATAAAATGTCCCAATTGCATAATTTTATTATGCAGGTATGTACAAAAATCAAAACGGATCTGGTATGCACTTTGTTCTGAATGCCAGGGATAAATGCATTTTGTTTCCTTACTAGACAACAATATTATCAGCCCGTCCACGAACTGTCATTCACAGAATAAAATTTCTCCGTGACGTATCTGTCCATCAATTAATCTTGGTTATTTCTTACCATAGCGATAGCAATATTTTAACAACATTTCCTATTCATTGCTGAGTCCATTCATAAAGAACTGCATAGTAAGTCGCCACCAGAATTACGTTATGCAGTCGACTGTTCATTTTTCAAGTGCAATGATTTGTCTGAGTGAAAACATAAATGCATCATGAAATTTTATCTTTAAAAGTAAGTAAGACATAACAAGTCTTATAACAACAAGGTATTTATATTTAAGTTATGACTGACTTTAACATAGGCAGAATTTTCCCTAAATGTCTCTTCGATCAGTTCGAGATCGTCTGGAGTCCAAAACAACTCAGTCAGTTTAGTATGAATTAAGACCTTTATTAAATTTAAGAATCTATGTCTTTATGTATAATAATAATTTTCATGTGTTATATCTCTCAAAACTATTTTATTGAGTGTATTTATCAAAAGAGCATTTACGTTGACTGTGTACACGCTAGTGGTCCCTGAACAAGAAACAAATAGTCAGAACTTTACATAAATTAATTTAAGAAAGTGAACAACATGATAAGAACTTTTGTTTACAGCATTTAGTACGAGGCATGTTCACATTGATTATCTTTAACGTTAAAGATAATGATAACAGTATAATAACAAACATCAGAACCTAGATTTCAGCAATGTTATTTATAAATCATGTTTACGTGGTTAACTTGAGATATATATTCTTTACTGCGTGTATGTGCATATCTCAAGTTATCTTTAGATTGATTGACGATAAAACACGGTTACAAATTATGAATATAACTAACATAAGTGCTAAATGCTGAGCAAAATATCATTATACAAAACATATTCACACAAGATTGATAGATGCCTGATATTCAAACAACTATAAAATAATTATCATGCATTATAAATTATTTTCTTTTAAAGAGGATACAAACGATTCGGAACCTGAGCATGTTGAAAGAGGAGTGCAAGGACCAGACTCATTACAAATAACAGGTTGCTTTATATTCAGATTTATGACGACTGTAGCATAATTATACTGTTTAGGAGAGATAAATGTTTCACCAAAAGTAATTAATGCAATGAAAAAAAAAAACAATAAGGAATATAATTATTATAATTATCCTAGTGTTATTCAATGAATTTCCATTAAAGGCCATTGCCTTTTATTTTCGATGAAAATCATCAATGCAAATTTTTCCTTCTTAAGGTACAAATTCTGTTGCACGTGCAGAAACAGAACTGGATTGTAAATTATTGTTTACATTATTTAATAAGGCAGTACAAAAACGCTTTTACTTCATATTATTTGTTTTTATGTAAAATGTCATACAATTTTCTATTTAATACATTTATTTAGTTTATAATGTTATAAAATCAACAAACTAATTTTTGAATGACATATCTAGCGACAATTGAACATTTAACATATTTTTTGAGAATTTGAATAATTGAACCTGTTGAGCTATTCTGAGAGAACAAGTTAATTGTCGTACAAAATGGATAGGTTTTTGAAAAATACTTAAATCATTCAGACTTGTCTTTCTGTATTATATTCTGAACGGAAATGTTCATTGTCGTCCAGAAAGCATTTAATTTATAGTTTTTTAATAATTAAATATGTTTGACTTGACTTTCTGTTAAGTATTTTGTTTTGAAGTGAGAAAACTCGTTTTTTCTTTCTTGTGAATCAAATAAATTATAATCACTGTATTTTGTGCTATCTAGTTTGATACTTACATTCAATGGTAGTATTGATTAAATCATTTAACCCAAACATTGACCGCAGTTAATACAACGTATCTGATATATCATCGTGACACGTGATTCATAAAACCAAAATCAAAATGTACATAACATAATTTTGAGTTTGTTTTAAGGTGAAACTATCGCTTCGAAACCCGACTCTATTGGAAGACAAACGATGAGAACAGAAACTTCAAGCCAAATCATTTACGAACGTATGTAAAATTGATTTTTTTTTTTTCATTTTTCATTGTACACTAAGTACGCTATCATATAAACAGCATGGAAAAGACGATAAAACAGAGACATTAAGTAGAACTATTACTTCTTTATACATAAATATTACAGGTTTCTACATAAATTTATGCAAAGTTTAGTCAAACTGAAAGTCATTAAAACATGAAAAACACTTCTACAGCATGAAAATGATTGAAAGACAATTGCTTTTGCATATTCATATACATTTGTATAACGACGTTCAAACTTCTTAGCCTGTGGTGCTCATTGGTTCATTTATATAGTTGGATGTTTTATCACTTTTGAGAAATCTCTTCTTTTCTAGAATGCTAGCTATATAGCATGCTATAAACTTTTCCACAACTTCCTCTCAGTGTATTATTATTATCTGGTTCGGGATCATTTGCCAAACACATTTGATGTTTAATATTAATATCGAAATTTTATTTACAACCTAATTAACACTGCTTTTTAATGATTTTTCCTGCTGGTGCTGTTGTTGCAAAGGGGTTTTCGATTTTCCAGAATTTTTCAAATCTTTTCATCATTTGGACCGTTTAGTCATCATTTATTGAGAAATTCAAACACAAACGGTCATTACCAATACTAAGTGTTTGAAACATGTAATTTAGGTTAATGTTTGCAAGATCAAGGTCACTAAAGATAATAAATGTAGAGATCTTTTCCAGTGTATATCTCCTACACTTACGGGGATATTCTAATGAAACATCATAGAAAGGCACAATATTATATATAGCAGTGTCAAGTGCATAACCCAGGTTTTTTGGTCAGGTGTCGAGGTCACACTTAGAGATCGTTGAATATGCTTGTTCGGAGAAAAACTTCTGCATTCATCGGGGGATTTTAATGTTAATTTGCACAAGTGTTAACTCTTGTGAGGCTTTTTATTTCGCGCATAATCCAGATAGCTGTTACCAAAGTCAAAGTTAAGATTAAACAGAATATGTGTACAGGGAGCAATTATTCATCATTTATTGATAGATTTATACACAAATGATAACTATCATGACTAAATGTGTGACACATGTATTTTAGGTTAATATTTGCAAGATCAATGTCACTAGAGATGATATTATATCCATATATTATCCAGATATTGCTATAAGTATATCTACTATATGCATTACGGTAATGCCCACATCTCTGTCAAGATTTTGTGAAGGGCGCACTTTCAGACAATGTTGCCTTTGTTTTATTTTTAAATTATGGAATAACGGATGTCTTTAAGAACGGCGACAAAGATCAAAATAAAAACGTTGCAAGCTAGGTTTGTTTGGCATGTTCATGTAGAAGCTCATCAGAATACAGCAGAGTAATACAACGTATCTGATATATGATTGTGATATGTGATTCATAAAACCAAAGAAAGATGTACATTAACTAAGTTTGCATTTTTAAGGTGGCAATATCGCTTCAAAACCCGACTCAATTGGAAGACAAGCGAAGGGAGAAGAAACTTCAAGCCAAATTAATGTCGAACGTATGTAAAATTGATTTTGTTGTATTGTACGCTATCATATCAACTGCTTGAAAAAGACGACAAAACAACAAATGAGTAGAACTATAACTTCTTTGTGCTATTAGGCTGCTGTAAACGTTTTCCAAACTTCCTCTCGGTTTATTATTATGTTCTGGTCTGGGATCATTGTGCCCAACACATTTAATGTTTAGTATTACAAACAGACCGGATCAACCCAAATCGGCATTTTTTTAATGTTTTCCCTGTTGGTGCTGATTTTGTTCTCATTGTTTCAGAAATGCTCCGATTTTTCAACATCTTTTAGTGGGTGATTAGAATAAGAAAATGTTTAGTTACTAGTGATGATTACGTGGAAAGAATCAACAGGTCACTTAAATTGATGCTTAATTGTTCCGACGTGATTTATATTGACATTGATGCTTTTTTGTGACGTAAAGTAATCGGTGATACACGACCGTTTGATTAATGTTATGTGTCATGTTTTGTCAAATATACACATTTCGATAATGTGTATCTATCATGGGAAAATTGCTTTTGATATCTGATCCAGATATCTAATTAAAGAAGAAACACGCAAATTTATCAAACAGCCCTCGAATATGTGTTTTAGCGACAAGGCTCTATTTGTATAAAAATTGAAGTTCTTTCAATCAATTACTTGTTTATGTATTACGTTCTTTTTTTCTTTCGCCGTACAGTGCTCCGCTTAATCATAATAAATTTGTTAAAACATTCAACTTATCTTTTCTGTGTTCTATGACATTTTATTGATTTTTGGTTTATATGACCATTATAGTGACAAACTTAAATATGAGTCTGAATATTTGTTTACCTTTGTTTAATGTTTACACATTATATACATGACAACAAATACAACATTTCATACAAGTTACACATAATTATCATTTTTAGTCTTGAAAAAAATATTCAAAAGATGTTTTAAACAAAACGTAGGAAAACTGAATTAAACGGTATATGTTAATAGACAGTAGTGATCAGAGTAAACTACGGTGATTTCTTTTGATATAAAACATACACAGATGGATTCGGCCCTGATCTTGGAAATTTCAATTCGACACGTTCATTTAATAAATCGTACATTTGTCTTACAGCTGTTAATAGGCTAATGGACGAACGACCATTGAAAGGTCTTGGATTTGATGTTGATGTAGATGACTTCGGTAAGATAAGTTAATGCGCTTTTCTTTGATGAAACTCTTTATTGGCCACTCTATAGAGGGAAGCGACTGTTTAGACAAATGGACTGTTTAGCCCCTCCAAGTTCCCTTAAACGTACTCCTTCCCCTACAACCCTGTATTATGCGACTCATCAATATGTGTACATAGCATCATTACAATTATATAGAAAATAAACGACTCTTGCACTCCTGAATGTAATAATAATTGGTTCTCTAATTTCACATACCTTCTATTTAACGTTTGCTTCGACTGTGTGACTTCGATAACATGGTAAGATAGTTTCGATATCATTTAGAGATTATTGTATAAAGTGTATAGTATAATATAAGTTTTCGGGTGTCTAATATGCAAAATTCTAAAACTTGAAACATTTTAAGTCTTACTACAAAATGCGCTGTAAACTATTGGAATTGTTTAAGTAAGAATGTTTATGTAAGCTATTGTAAGCACTAGTTAATTCATTCTCAAAACACCAGTTTAAGCAAACTTCAATTATATACACAATGCAACAGAAAAAACCATTGTAAGTTGCACTTTTTCAAGAAATTATATTTAAATAATATATGCAATAAGCTCCAGTTATTTAGCCCACTTATTTTGTACAATGCTTAAATTATATTAGTTTCAGATACGTCACTTGTTGTCGAACCTCAGAATATACCGCGTATTAGAATTTCTGGACTTACAGAAAACACAAATAAAGAAATGCTTACAATGTTCTTTGAACTTGAAGAGAAAAAAGGCGGGGGAAAGGTAAAAAATGTTGAAATGGGCAACAAGGGGAAGTTTGCTACGATTGAGTTTGAGGAGAAAGCGGGTACTTTTTTCTGAATTATATATAAACCATGTTTTAGTGTTTTGAGTGATGGTAACTTTGACAACTTTTGAATACATTAAAATCACTTTAAGAAAAATCAATAGAAATTGCAGATATTTTAGATAACTTATAAAACAAATTTTGGAATGTTTTCATATTATTTCATGAATTAATAAAATACATCCTGACCTATTATAAATCCAAATTGATAGCATTTATAGAAAAGTGATTTATATCAAGTGATTTTAATGATAATGCAATTCAAATCATTGTAACAAACTTCTTATATAAAAACTATTTCGATCTTCTTTATGAAATTCTATCAACGGAGTTTTAATGCACCTCTTGTCGTGCATTAACATCTGCATTTATAACCTCGATGTACGGAGTAGTATTGAATAAAATTATACGAGAATTCAACGTTTCGTTATCTGTCGTTCGTACAATAGCATCCGCCTGTGTCATACTTTCAAGTGATAGTATTAATTAAGATTATTATGTGTTAGCTTGTAGGACATCAATTTATAAAGATACAGATAAGGTCAAAATTTCTTAATATATGTTACTTTGTTTTTTGAAATCGTTATTTCAGGTGCTGATGCGTTTATGCTAAGAGATCCAAAATCAATTCTGGGTATGGATGTCAGAGTAGAAGTTTTTGGTAAATATTTATCAAATAATAATAAATGTTTCTTTTTTAAACCACCGCATCATCTGCGATACGGTGGCATATAGCGATTTACCTCTGTTTATTTGTGTGTGTGTGCGTGCGCGTGTGTGTTTGTTTAAGGTAAGGGGCTTAAGATTGTAAAGACATTAGACTAAGTGTTAGTTTAGGGTAAGTGTTAGGGTTATAGTTACAAGTCAGTTGTACAAAGTATGTGTGTGCGTGTGTTATAGCGAACTTAAGAAAAATGTCCTAAAAAAAGACATTCCAATTAATTAAATTTTCAATTGAACTTGGTAGGATTGTTTTTTGGCTGAATGGCTTCAACGTTTTTTTTTTTTTTTTAAAGAATTTGATTCAATGCAGATATTTGGCTGCCATGGCAACCAAAGGGAATTATAAGAAAAAAAAAACATTAAAGACATCTTCGTCTAAAGACCCATCCGGACTAGAGAGTAGGCATTGTCTGATGGACCTCTATAAAGATTGTTCATATTAAAGCGATGGGTTAAAATTGGCCACGCACCATGTGTCATTGATTTTTATGATGTACATATTTACACTTAAAAATAGTTTTGTCTGAAGGTACAATGGTAAGAACTTTGATATTTGGTATATAATATCATCTGTAGGTCCTTTACCAAAGTTTTTTGAAATTTTGCCTCTAGAATCAAAATTGGCCCTACCCCAGGGGCTAAAGATTTTCCTTATATGTATATACATGTAGCTAAAACTTAATAACTCTTCCCTGAATTGACCAGGGCTAGAAGTGGATATTTGGCGGGAAAAATTCTTATCGGTATAAGACGTATTTGATATATGATATCATTTATAGCTTCTCTACCAAAGTTGTTTAAAGTTTGCCTCTAGTGTCAAAATTGGCCCAATCGCGGGTGCATAGGTTTTCCTTAAATGGATAGAGCATAAACTTTAAATTAAAAAAATCTCTGAATTGACAAAAGCTTGAAGTTATATAATTGGCATGAAACACTATGATGTAGACCTCTACCGAGATTGTTCAAATTGTAACCCTGTTGTCAAAATTGGCCCTGCATCGTTGGGTAATAGATTTTCATTATGTACAGATAGTAAAAAAAAATTCTGAAAATGAAAAACTTGAGCTTAGATATTCGACATGAAACACTGTCTGGTGGACCTGTATCAACATTGTTTAGATTAACTATATAGGGTCAAAATTATGCACTGCCAAAAGGGACACAGTGACCTTGGTGTACTTCTTGTCCTTTGATGTACTGCGTCGATTTTGGATTATATGCAAAGTTTGAAAATAAACATTGAAGTCGCAGGGTCCGGCCGCAGGGTAATGTGTTTTCCTTACAAGTTTATAGTAAGTTGAGTACTTTAATACCAAATCATTTCAGAGAATATTTGGAAATATCACCGAAAAGCATGGAAAATAATTATGTGTTTCAGGTTTTAAGTTTACTGAAATGGTTCTCCGTTTCCATTTATTTGAGATTTTTAATCTTATACATATGAGTTTGTAAAAACAAAGACAATTAACAAATCATGACTCCCTATATGTAAACTAGATAATATTTGGACAATTTTCTAGCAATACATGACCACCGTGTCATTTTACCTTAGAAATTTGTCATTTTATTAAATGGTTACGAAAATCTTTTCAACTAGGAAAAAATAACTGTTTTCTATATTTATATAATCAGATGCTTCATAATACATAAAATATTTCGGCATGTCACATTATATGAACAATTGTGACTCCTGCTAATTTACTTACTCATATATGTTGTGTAATTAAAACAGGGAACTTATATGCAAAGGCCAAAATGCATGTATAATTTTTATATCAATCAACATATAGAAAAGTATATGCATACATACATTTAGGAAAAGTAAAGACTGCAACATAAAAATTACTTAATGTCACTAAGCTGACAAACAATTAATGTTTCAGTTCTTGACCGAAATGAGGCGATTTACCGGTAGACTTAAAAAAGGAGAAAACTAATATAGCTGATTAATGAGAAAAGAGATACAATGCTTTAGTGAAATATTTCATTTTATAACTTTTTTTATCAAAATTCTTTTAGAATCTGCTTTTGCCGAAACTGCGCATTCTAACCAAGTCGAACGTGACCTTGCAAGACCGGATTCTTCAAAGGCAAAAGGTAATAAAGCTGATTTGTTCTGTTGAAAGGTATCTCTTTTGTTACATACTTTCAGTTTTTATTTCACACACTACAAATAAATGTGATGTTATCAAGTATTATTATTATACTCTATCTATATTTTACATTTGGAAGTATGAAAAAAATCACAATGAATAAACATATCAAGGCCAAATTGCTTTTGACCTCAGCAAGTGAAATATAATATCAATTCTTCTAAATAAATCTGTTATTTTCTAGATGGCCATGAATTTTTTTTTGTATTTTCTAAATCTTAACTGTAATCCTTAAGTTGTATCTTGATCCGTAATTTCGACGTCGTTCGCATTTGCTCTAAACCAGCTCTGCACAACTTTTGGATTATTGTATACTCAGAATTAAATATAGCCAGTGATTTTAATTTTTGCAGCTTTTAATGAAACCGAAGGCCAGACATTTTATCAAATACTGCAAAGGCTTGGGTTGACAGACAAATTCCCTGGTAAAATATCTATGCGAGATGTCATAGCAGTTGATCCTAACGAAAACATTGAAGAGATAAATGGGAAGTTATCATTAACTGATATTCCTTGGTTGGTTCTGAAGCGCCTAATGTGTGCTCATAGCGAATCTAGAGACATCAGAGTGCCAGAAGAAGAAAACTCTGCAGATAGTTTTAATTTAGAGGATTCAATATCATGCTTTACGGAAATACCAGATGTCAATCAAGACATCAGTCCACTAGATATATTCACTGTCGTTTTTCAATGCTGTGATCCATTTATGAAACAAATATTTGTTCAGAAACTTTATCTTTGCAAACTTGCTGTACCTTTTTTGTATAGGTATTGGGGAACAAATGAGAAGCATTGTCCAGTACTCTCTGTTTGGCCATTGCGGTCCCTAGCCATAGAGAGTAAGCAAAGTACTGCCAACAAAAATGAAATGCAGGGTAGCGAAAGTGATGTACTTGATCTTCAAACAAAGGTGGTAGCATTTGGAAGGTTAGGTCGCCCTCGCTATTCAAAATCAAAGCTGATAAATAGTCTTCTTTTAAGTCAAGATTGTAAAACGTTTTTTAATTTTGACTGTCCCTCTGGAATGACACCAAGACAACTAAGTAACGGACAAATTGAAATGTTTTGGTTACCTACCATCGATGAAAGAAAAGATAGATTTCAGGATGCTTTGACAATTTTGAACTTGAGGGGTGATTTAGGCCAAGACTTTAGTCAAGACCTTTTATATTTCATATCACACTTAATAGATTCTATTTTAATTATTATTGACTTAGATACAGTTTTGGTTCACAGTAAGATGGTTAAAGATGTTCTTCTTCAATTTTCCTCAGTCATTTTGATAATTGCAGACCCTATAAGCCATGATGAAATTAAACTTTTACAGAGCTTTCGAAGTGCTGTAATATCATCATCAAAATCAGAAATCAATTTACAAATAGTAAGAACACATAAAGGAACTGTTAAACAGAATGTCGTAGACATGCTATCAAGTATAACAAAAACAATTTTAAATCAGCTGAAAACAAATAAAACAATGTCGTTTGTAGACAGATTGTCGCGTGCAAAATTAGCAACAGTTCATTCGGACGAAGAAGATGTGGTTTGTCAACAAGGCATGCTAGAAGCTACTGAAGTGATAAAACAAATGAAAGCTGAGGGTGAACCTAGTGTTTGGAAACAACGTTTAACACCTGTTTACGGCAAATTTACAAAGCAGTTAGGACAACTTTCAAAAGATAGAGCAAGAGAGACAGACTTTACAGAAGGAGTTAATATTGATGAAAAACTTAACACACTGAGACGACAACAAATAGAATCTATTACAAAAACTGTTCGATGTTTTCTCGACATTCTCATTAAAAGCAACAGTTCCCCCTCAGTGCTTGAATATTTTCTTTGTTGGTTACATATTTTTATTGAAAGAGAAAAACGACAAATATTACCCCGGTTGATGCATGAAAATCGAAGTGCATGGGAAAAACTGAAAGAACTTAAAAGTGCTGACAGTCAGGTAAAGGAGGAAATAGAGAAGCAAGAAATTATCATAACCGATATAGAAGAAAATATAGACGAAGCATCGTTTGCAGTTCAACATTTTTTCCGTGAAATTGGTCACATTTATGAAGCTATTTTACAACTTAATGTAAACACAGAAAAATTGAGATTACCAAATGTACGCCTAATGTCAAGTATTATCGGTCGTCTTGTTGCTGATGGACACCAATTAGAGCTAATTGATGGTGAGAGCTTTTACATGCCTTACCTGTGGATAAAAACAGTCCTGCAAAAGGTTGATATATGTATTGAGTCCAGTAAAGTTATGACACTAGGCGTTTTAGGTCTGCAAAGTTCTGGAAAGTCAACCCTTTTAAACACGATGTTCGGATCTCAATTTTCATCTAGAACCGGTAGGTGCACTAGAGGAATACATGTTCAGCTCATTCCTACAAAATCTGAACAAATTTGCAAATTTTCTAACGTGTTTAGCTATGTACTTATTGTGGACACTGAAGGCCTGAGGTCACCCGAGCTAAGTCATATGCAGCATGAACATGACAATGAGTTGGCTACTGTAATAACCGGTTTAGGTGATATCACAATGTTAAATATAATGGGAGAAAATACAAGCGAAATACGGGATATCCTGCAAGTGATTGTCCATGCATTTCTTAGACTGAAAATGACAAATGAAAAATTAGATATAAGGAAAAGTTGTGCATTTATACATCAAAATGTCACTGACACGTCCGCATCAGAAAATATGGTAAGTGGATTAAGCAAATTACTACAAACTTTGGACGAGATGACAAATGAGTCGGCGAGAAGTGAAGGAATACTTGATATCACTACCTTTAACCAGGTTATTGAATTTGATATTAATAATCAAGTATGGTATCTGAAGAATTTATGGCAAGGAAATCCACCAATGGCGAGAGTAAATTATGAATACAGCGAAACAGTAGTGGATATAAAATGCAAAATTATGAAGAAGGCTTTGACAATGAAGAACAAATCTTACAAATCATTGAATGATATAATTGAACAAGCGCATAGTTTATGGAAGGGTGTTCTCAGTGAAGATTTTGTTTTCTCCTTCAGAAATAGCCTTGAAATAAAGGCTTATATGGAAATGGAGTCGTTTGTACAAGATGAACTTTGGCGGCTTGAAAGCATTATTCGTGATAAATTGATACAAATTTCTCAAAACGGCTTCGCTACATGTAATCGAAACGAAAACTTACGAACTGTGGCAGATAATCTGACAAGCGGACTCAATGAATGTCTTATTAATGAAAAAATCCAAACTGAAGCGAATATTGAAACTTATTTTGACGGAAATAAATATAAAGACATCATAATTCAATGGAAGAATATTCAGCAAACACGTGTGACCATACTTTGCGAAAAACTACAACAAATCATAAAAGGACATGTAGAAAAAAGTCAAATGAAAAGATCATTGGAAATCCTGACAGACACATGTCAAGAAAAGCATAAAGAGGAGCTTAGAAAAAATTCAATGGATGTTGCAAATCGGTACAAAGGTCAGAAACTAAGTAGCCAGAAAATAGATGAGCTGTTCAGTGCAATTTGGGAGAAAACATTTCTTGATAACGTTGATACTTCTCCGACAAGTACAGAGAAACACAGGAAAAAAATGCGAATCATATTTCGAACATGCCTTGAGAATATATTTAAGAAACATCTTGCTTTGCTTAAGGAAGCTTTGAAACAAACTGTCGATTTAACACCATTACCAAATGTGAAACAGTTAGCTAACTCGTTTAATGAAACAGAAATAAATGATACAGATATAAGCTTTACAATATTTCAAAATATCAAATCAGCAGTTGGATGGTCCGATACAATGAAATATGTCAGAGACAGGGTTAACCAAATTTTTGCATCAGTTGATGGAAAGATCAAAGAGCTATGCCAAGTTAATGATGAAGTAACGGAAATGTCTGTTAACAAATTATTGCACGAGCTTGATTCTAGCATACAAGCAATCTTAACAGGAGAGAGTAAATATAATTTTAAAAAGACATTTTATGTGAAAATCTATGTACATGTTAGTAGGCATGTTCATCCAATTTTCGAAAGTCATAACGACATGTATTTCAAAACGCATGGCACTGCAATCATTCTTGAAAAATATAGAGAACAACAGAAAATAAGTTTTGAATCTCATTTGCGATGCCGCCAAGTTGAAGATATAGTCGCAAAACTTTTTGCTCATGTCATAGAGAGTTTTGCAGAAGAATGGACATCTCAAAGTATGCCAAACAAAGTTACGGATAAATTACTTGCTAAACTTCCGGACGTAAAAAATAGAGTCATAATTGTAATATGCACAGATCTTTTGAAGGAAGGAAACTTTAAAAATTTTGTCAAATATATAGTGGATCCACATATGTATGCAAGTTCATGGATAACTGAAAAGGCAAATCAGTGTCTAGATGATCCAAAGGAGCCTGTTATTGCTAGTACTGCATCCTCGTTGCTTATCGAAATATTTGGCACCGTCAGTAAATGCGTACAAGAGGTCAAAAGGAAATATGATGGGAAATCTCCGCCCTCCATTGGCACCTGGTTAGAATATTTTCAAAACTTAATGACATCGTCATATTATTGTATTCCATCTGAACGTTTCCGGAATGTAAGACAAGAAACATCGTCTAGTATAGAAAATGTGGAATACTTGACAACTACAATTTTAGATAATTTGAGAAAATCTGAAGAGAAACTTGCTGCTAAATTCAAATTACAGACGAGTCGTTCAGTTACATGGGCAGGTTTTAATCCCATATCTCGCATTATTAAGAAAGTATGGGGATGCAAAGAACAATGCTCATTTTGTGGAGAGCCATGTGCCAAGAGTCAGGATCATGGAGACTCTAATCATTATAGTATACAACATCGCCCTTCATGTTGCAAGGGTATTCGTAACACTGGCACGCAAAATGCATGTTTATCATCATGCGAGTTTGATATTCAGTCAGATTTATCACATACGTGCGGAGTTTTCAATTACATTTGTCATGCCGGCAAAAGAAAATATTGTGGTAAAACACATTTATATAGGGACTACAAAACATACCTTCCAAATTGGGACATAGCACCAACATCTAATATGCATGACTCATCTAAATATTGGATGTGGTTTGTAGCGACATACAAAGATGAACTTAAAAATCATTATAATTATAAAATTGATCATATTCCTTCTTCATGGAAAAATATCACCAAATCAGAGGCACAACAGAGTCTGGAAAAAATATACTCTGCTTAACGAGCCGCAAAAGAAAACAAAAAAATCAATTAGTGGCTTTTCAACTTGCTACTCCAAAAATGTAATTAGATTAAACAGAAATATGTCATAAACAGAAAAATGATTCCTCAGCTAGAAGCAATGAATTGTTTTAAGAACTAGGTTAACCAAAAATGTATCACGTTTATCATTAAGCCATCCATGTTAACATATCTTAGCAGCAAATATAAACAAAAGAGCGGCAGTAAATATAATGATCTTTAAAGGCGATATGATATACGTAAAAAAATGCAGAAAAAAACATTTTAAAAATGAATTAATCTTTTAATTCAGTCGTTAACGATGTACATACATTAAAAGTATTGTTTACGTGACGTCACAATGTAGCGCCAAACAGCACGTGCAGAAACAATTAAATCAATAACGTTATTTCAATGTCGCAAACTAGTTTCATTTCACATTTATTTCGCTATTAATACTTTGTTTTTTTGCTTGAAAAAAATATAGATTTAAATAAAATAAACAAGCTAGGTTTTATCAACGTTTTCAAAATTCATTATTCTCAAAATGTTTCTTCACAATGTAGATTTGAAAGTTTTTTCAACCCACTGTCCAGAAGAGCCTTTAAAAGGGCTTTCTATTGGAAACTGAGGCTAAAACAAATTTAACCACCAAACATAAAGTCTACCTATATAATTATTATTATATTTTTTCCTGACGCGTTAGAATGGAACTAGATATTAATTTTTCTTGCATTATTGTATTTTCTAACACGACCCGCATTTTTCCCTATTGAACATAGAAGAACCGAAAGTGTGTGTTTTTATGCTATAAAATCACTATTTGACGGTCTATATTTAGACACGTGACGTAATCATTGTACACGTGACGTAACCACTAAAATGTGGCACGCTGCCAATGAGTACGGACACAAATCAGGCGCAATTAAGCTAAGCATTAGGTTGGGCAGCATTTATTTGTTGATGTCGAGTTAGAATCGAAATAATATATCCAAATCGGTGATTTTATTGCTTGATAACATCATTGTCGTTCGGATGCGCATCATGATAACACTCAGGCTACGCCCTCGTGATATAATTCCATGCATCCGAACTAAAAACAGAGATTTTATTGAGCAATAAATTCACAGTTTGGGATATATTATTTCTTAAATAATGCATGTTTTTCGTTCGTTATTAATCACTCATCGTGATTATGTTACTACGCATTTGAACTCAAACCGTGCATTATTCTACAACAAAACACTCTCAGAACTGAAATATATTTCATAATTTTATCTTGATCTTAATGATAAGTTTATGTTATTTAATTTAGCCTAAAATTTTCTTGATTGAATATTTCTATAAATTTGCATATGCTGTATTTATTATTTTTAAAATGTGTGTTAGGGTCTAATATAATCTTGTTTAATTTGTTTGAATTAAAAAGCATAACAATATTAGATGGCTTATTCTAATGCATTATCATAATGAAAATGTTGATGTTTTTTTTAATTTGAATCGCCCATTGTACATCACTTGTTTCAGAGATTGTGTTTTATTGTTTGTGTGTGATTTGAATTTCTTTTATATATAAACTGATATATGTACATGTATTTGTTTTGATGACGAAATTTGTACTTTATGTCATATCGCCATTTATGCTTCATTTTCAAAAAATCTTCTTAATTAATACAATAGGTTGAGTTTTGAAAGCATGTATTTTTGACTGACTAGATAGATCATCAGATATGTGTTAAATAATAAGTTTTTTCGTTGTTTACGTTCTTTCCTTTTTATTAATGATTAACATTACAAATATATCTTAACATTGAAAATCTATCCGTTAAACTTAACATAGAATAACTGACATTATGTAAGTGTATTAGATTACAAAGTTTACGAATTTGAGCTGCAATTATGAGCAAATATTTGAAAGCTTGTTAGACATTTCTAGTTTATCACCTGTCTTTTAGTAAGGATATAATATATAATGGTCTTCTTTTGATAAAATATTTTAAAATCTAGGATATTCTCACTGAATACGTCAGAATGCAAAATTATCTTTTAGAGAAAGCTGCATTATTTTATTTTTAAAGTCAAGCTAATTTGGCCCTTAATTTGAAAAATACCTACCAGATAGATTAAACTATTTATTAATTCATAATGTGTGTACCTGTGGTGTGCAGAGGTTTAAACTTATTTTCTTTGTGTGTACTACATGAAAATTCTTCTTACGATTCAAGAGAAACTGTATAGCAATTATCAATATGTTCAAGCATCAAATTTGAACGTAATATATCTTTAAGCTTTATATTTATGTGCTTTTGTTTTGAAGTTGGTTTTGAAGATTTAAACCAATAATCGTTCCTCTTTTTGGTACAGTGTTTTCAAATAAATACAAAGAATTGTGTCCCTTTAGAAATTCATATCACGTAGTATACTCGTAGTATATAGTATTTTAAAGATTGTTAGAAAATATTTCTGTATGTTAATCAGAACAGAATAATTGGAAGACTGAAGATAAAAAATAATCACCTTGTATGTTTTGTTTGTTTGCGGTAATAATAAGTTATGTTTTTTTGAAATCTTAAGTTAAAGTTTTCAAATCACAACAACGAGAATGTCATTCAATCGAATACATTAAACATTTTATTTAGATTGCATTTATTCATTAAAAACATTTTAGAAATCAACGAAAGAATTACAGATTACCAGATTGAACGGGTGTTGTCTTTTGTACTTAAAAATAAAATGTGTGCGTGTCAAAAGAAAATTGTTGTTTTTTCCTGCTTCCTGTATAACTTTCTGATTATTTCAAATACAATTTAAGTTTTATCACAACCGAGCTTCAATAGATACTTTTTAAACTATCACTTTAACTAGTTCCTCCTTTAACTAAAAAAATTAAAATGTTGCATTTTCGTGATTGATTCTATTCAGACTCACACGTATGATCATAATTATATGATTCATTGTTCAAAGCCATTATCCCTAACGCCATGTTATTTCATTTCTCGTTTTGAAGCCCATTAAAATCGCAATCTCCTTCAGAACAACAGTTTCCATGTTACTTAATCTTTGCAATCGGAACCATAAGAAACCGGATTTATCGGAATACCACAAATTAAGCTGCACCATTATTGCGTTGAAAGCCATTGAGAGTATTTGAGAAAAGAGCCTTATATAGGTTAAACGCTGTCTTTGACGTTTGACGTGCGCCGCGATTCAGATAGTTGCCATGGTATTTACGGCATATGTTTGTTGATATTTTTCTATGTAAGTTTGTGAAAATGTTTCAATTATATGTGTTTATTACATATTAAAATATCAAATTCGTACCTATTTTAGTTAGCTTTTAAACAATTTTGTCACAGAATATTGGGACAACCCCCGTATTATACATGTCTTAAGTCATTATATTTTTGTCCCCATATGCATGTTCTGTTGTTGTTTTCTTTTTCAGAAGGCAACATTGGAAATAAGATATATATGATAAGTGTTGTTTATTCTTAATGTGTTACCTTCTCTAAATAAAGAAATAATTATTATATGTTTCTAGATGAAACTTGTTTCGGAAATGTTACCTTACACTGACTTATTCATCATGTACAAGTTAATTTGTGCTTCATTAATTTGTTAAGATACATGTATGTGATTCGTGGCATGACAATTAATTATACACCTCAATAATCATATATTCATTAATGAGAGTACCAGATGAGTTTTCAGATTTTTCAATGTTGTGTCTCGGAATGTTCTGGACCGTGAACGTTATTTGTGGTCTCGTTCTTTTATACAAAACTTATAAAATAGCATCCATATCATAGCTAATAAGCTGTTAATTAGTTAATAATGAAATATTCAAAGTCGTTCAATTATTGGAAGGAAGCACGGCTCACTGGCATCAAATAGCCACGAAAGTTAACTAGAAGATTGTTTCCGAAACTTCTTTAGTCTTTTTAGTGTATACATTTCAGAATGACACATATTATTTTGCTAATTTAAGAATGCCCAATTCTCTGATTTCAATTTGTAAATTTACACTGACCAATGGAAATCCTCTGTTTTTTGCAATAAGAGGTCATAGAAACGTATATAGGATCATCACGCTAACATATACAGTCCAACTCACTCCAGGTAACCTTAATCCACTTTCTCTTTTTGATTTTCTACGTCTACATCAATCCAGATGTCATCATTTCACCAATTGCAGGCCAATTTTATAATTTCTTAAATTTTCGAGCCAAACACTCATTCCTGCGCGTTGCACAAGAACATCTATAGCGTGAAAGTTACCAGCCGGGATCACAATGTTATAGTGGCTGATTTGTTGCATTCGTGTTTTCGCCCCGCGACCCCGCCAAGCAAAACGTCTAAAATGGCGGGGCGCGGAGCGAAAACACGATAATTTACGAGGGCGCGGGGCAAACTTTAATGAATAAAACTTCACCCCGCGTAAGCGCGGAGCGTGATTTAAGAAAAAAAAACGGCAGGGTCGCTGGACGAAAACACGACATTAAGCGAGAGGACAGGCCAGTTTAAGAAATAAAATTTCGCCGCGAGCCCCCGCTTATTAGTATGTTTTTGTCCCGCGATCCTGTCAAGCGAAAAGTCGAGAATCACCAAGTTAAAATCTCGGGGGCGCAGAGCAAAAACACGCTAATTAGCGAGGGCGTGGGGCTAATTTTAATGAATAAAACTTCCCTACGCGGAGACGCGGATGAAGATTTAAGAAATAAAACGGCGGGGTCGCGGGACAAAAACACGCTAATTAGCGGGGCCGCGCGGCGAAGTTTAATAAAAAAGAACTTTGCCCTGCGCCCTCGCTAATTAGCGTGTTTTCGTCCCGTGACCCCGCCAAGCGGAGCGATGTTTTATTTACTTCGGTTTGCGCCTCCGCTAATTAACATGTTCTGCTCTTAGCACCGCCATTTTAACTTGTTAAATCTCGACTTTTCGCTTTGCGGAGTCGCGCGGCGAAAACACGAATGGCACAAATCAGCCACTTTACAATGTATCTTTGTAACCAATTAATCCTTTACCTTATCAAGTTGCAACTGAAATATATATTCAAATCGCCGACATTGGGGTTTACTTTCTTTGGATATCAACACTATGTATCCCGGTGTGCTTTGGCTACCATGCGTCTGTAACGGTACATCCGATTTGGGCAATTAGGCTGACGGAAGCTTTTATATTAGTCGACAATAAAGTTATGTGAATCTAATTAGGTGATGACGTATATCTCCCGCAGAAAAACATTATCAGATTTTTTTTACTGGAATTCACACGACACTTCAGTAGCGGCTAAGGTTTTTAAAAATATTTGATGCAAACACCGTGAAGTGTTGCGGATTGAGAACTGCTAGGGGGCGTGAGGGATGTTGCACCTATTCATTATCCCTCATGTACAGACTTAATCCAACCGAGTCTGCAATTTTCATGTAATTTTATTGTGATTGATGCTTCCGAGGGATTGCTTTGTTTCCAGATTTTCATAGTCTGTTTTTAATTTTCAACATTTTATAAAACTGCCATTTGTACCGTTGCTATTAATTGGATTATTATAACTTTTTATTAACAATAAACATGGTTCTGTCAGTTAAAAACATGCATATATAGCTTATTTTTTCTCTAATTAAGGCCGTTTGCTGTATTATAAATTCGTTTTAAAAATGCCAAACGACCCGAGTTTGCTAACAATGTATGTTAACAACTATTTATATATGGCCTTACAACCTGTAAAAATACCTTTACAAGATATAATTGTGCATAAATAAATGACCAAGAAGGGCAAGTATGTATAAAAGCACTACAATAAAGCACTACAATTATAAGTTAGATATAAACTATCCCGTCTATGCCACAGGAAAAAGAAACGTTTGTTTTGTTCATATTCATTTTCAATACTGATTTTTGTAAGCTAGACAATTAATGATTTGTAGTTTTTAAAGATTGATTCAGATGAATAACTGACAGCTAGATATTCCTTTTGGGGAAGGACTGGTTTTATTCGTTCGAAAATATTGAAAATGTGCCCCATATAGTTATGACAGTCGCTGTTGTTCTTATATTGTGAAGGGTGATGAAATTTGGTTTCACTATTTTATGCAAGCTACCAAGTGCAATATAAAGAAATGTTTGCCGACCATGCATTGCTTAGCGATTGACAAGTGTCAAAAAAATTATGTATCTGACATACTTTTTCAACTATTGTCTCATTTCCTGTTTCTAGTGGCTGTTCAATCTAATCCAATTATAATAGAGATGTCGTGTTAAGAAAAAAAGAAAAACACTTCTACAAAGTTTTTCTTTCAACTTATATGAACGACCAGTATTTGCTGCATGACAACGGTACTGCACACAAAGGAGCTGCTACGTGCATTTTTTATTTTGTCCGAGAAAAACAAGTGACTTAAATTAACATCCACCGTATTCTTCAGATGATGCAACCTGAGATTTTTTTTTCAATCCTAGACACCAAAAACACATTTTTTTTGTTATTGAAATATATATATATATATATATATACCTTGGAAAACTATATTGAAGCATTTAAAAATGGATTAAACGTCTAAAACTTACTATTTCTGTAGAAGGTTAATTCGATCGAAGGATTGAAGTAGATAATGTTAAATATTTGCCTTTTTGTTAAAATCTTTGAACAAAATTTCATTAGATATTTTTCCAACATCTGACAAATAATTTAACGCTATACTCACCTACTCACCACTATGCTGTAAACATGTGTCGTATCGTACTCCATTTATAACTTTACATACTGGTAAGTTTTACATGCATGTTACACATTTAATTCGGTAAAATTAGTATTATAATTATACTACTAGAGCAAATTGCTGAAATCGATACCAAAACAATTGCGGTTATCTTGGTAACTTTTGCATCTTTTTTAAAGTTATCTCCCCTTAAAATATTGTTTAAGATGTCTTAGGATTGCACATCAGCTGGCTGTAAAGCTGTTCTTCTGAAAATTATTTTTCCTAGTTATTTCTAAGATATACATCGTTTCTGTATTTAGAAAAAAAAACGTTTTATAACTCTTTATAAGCTGCACGTCTCTAGATGAACCAAAATACTGCAAGACAATCAAACATAATAGAAATGTTCTAAGGTTTTAAAAACAGTAAAAAACTCAAGATTCAGGTGCTGTTTGTTCACCTCACAATATTTTACAGGCCAAAGTTTCATAACTATTACCATGGATGAATGCTGACTGTAAGCTTGACACATTACTGTTTCTTTTAGTACCTATGGCTTTTTAGCTACATACAGGTTGCTAAACAAAGCAATAAATAAGACAACTAAAGTTTTGTAGAAATAATTGGATATATTAATGAAAGTGGAGTAATTAATTTCTGAAATGAGATACCTCTGTAAGTTTCGAAACATTTAAAGTTAAGTTTGTATTTTATATTTAATGCTAGTCATTTTAATCATCACGTATTGGTCAATCAACAAAATAACAATGAGTATTTTGAAACAATTATTTAATTTAACTTAACTAAGGAGCGATAAAAATGAATGTAATGTCACTTTAAACTCCCGTGTCACAGAATTATTGCAGTGTGAGATAACGATTAAATAACCTCGAAATAAGTTATAATCACCTTATCCATTGTGAATATCTTTTACTTCTGATGCCATGCTATTGTGTTAAAAGATATGGCAACCAATAATAAGGTTTGTATGTTTATTCATAAAATACCATAAACTGGTAGAGAATTGTCAAAGAAGCTACATAAAGG